TTGAAATCTAGTGATGAAACCTGACTGCTGTTGCAAGTCCTGTTTATTGACGGAGTATTAAGGCAATTTACATATTCAGCAGATTCAAATGGAAGTATTTTTTTTCCCTTTCAAATTGTCCCTTTGGAGATAATGGGGGAGAGTGTGATTAAACACTTCTTAAAAGAAAACAACCAATTCTCATAATAGAGGAAAAAAGTGATGACTCCTTTCTGAAACATTAAATTAGCCTCTTTTTTTTTGTTTTAATCCTGATACCCTCATAGGTGTTCCTGTGGAAGAAATATGTGACCTCTAATCCCATAGGTTTCTCTTACATTGCAATGTGTACAATTTTGATAAATATACACAAAAGTTCTAAGAACTTATTCTGCATCCCGATTTTCTTGTTACATATATTTCTGTGATGTAAGGTTTTCAAATCTAAACTTCCCAACTTTAAGATCTTTTTTGAAAAGTAACTACTTTTCTTTTTTAAAATGAAATGGATGGTGAATTCTGAACAGAGTTGCTAAAAATGAGTGGACCTTGTGAATCTGTTTCCAGAGACATTAATGCAGATTTTTTTTTTTGAAACTACAGTTCTGGAAACATTTCTTTTTATGTAATGTCACGTAATTGATTTGCCTTTCAAGACACTAACATAGGATTCTGGATAAATCTAGAAGAAAGTATTGACTGAAATCCTGAAGCAATACAATAGCCAACATCTTTATAATAACCTAGAACTATCTTTCTTATCCTTGCCAACTTTAAAATGTGCGGACTTCAACTTCCAGAATCTCCTGTTGAAGTCACCATATATTAAAAGTTGCCAAGGCTGAAAAACATTACTTTACCAGAGTCTCCTGGCTACTGCTGTCACTGCTTTTCCAAGAAGACCCCTAACCTACACATCTGTTAGGTCTCCTGCATGTGCAGGGGTTGGATTAGAACAGGGGTCCCCAACTCTCAGTCTGTAGACCACTACTGGGCCGCGGCATGCCAGCAACTGGTCCGCACAAACAAGCAAAGCCCCATCTGCAGGATGCAGGCAGCACACAAAACCACGCACCCTCTGGTCTGTGGAAAAACCTGTCTCCACCGAACAGGTCCCTGGTGCCCAAAAGGTTGGGGAACTCTGGACTATAAGATTCCAAGGTCCCTTCCAACACTGTTATTCTGTCATAACTTGAGGTAGATTTCCTCAGACAATTTCTGTTTCTTGTATGAAATGAATATTTAGGTTTTAAGTCACAAATAATCTAGGAGGTATCTTTTCCTAATAAACTTGATTTAATATTATGCTTTTTAATGAAAGTTCAATGGCTTCCTGTATCAACTGAAACAAACAATATAACCTCCAAACACTTTTAGTACTATATAGTTAAAATTTTCTATACCACTTGGGAGAGCTTCTTTGAATGCTTCCCTTACTCTTTGCCTTCTGTAGCTTATTGTCTAATGAAATGTTGTGGGGAAATCTTTTTTTTTTTAATACTCTCTTTTGTAGCATTTTAGATGGTGTTAATTTATTATCCAGTGAGGGAGTGAGGGTTTCGATAGACCATCATGACTATCATGTGTTTTATATGTTCAGAAGGTTGCATATCCAAAATGCAATAAAAAGTTTTATTTAATAAAATAGTTTCCTACAATTATCCTAATCAACATTAGGTTTTGTAACCAAGGGGTCTCAAATTATTTAAGGAACTAATGGGATAGATTTCAGCTTTGCTATAAAAGAATTGTCATTGTCCTTCTGTGTCTCCATACAGTCCTTCTTAAAGATCTACAATTACAATTATTTATTCTAAGTAAAGTATACACTGTTGATAAAAGCTTTGTGCTCAGTAGGAGAAAAACAGGTGTTCAAGCAACTTTTATTTATTTCCCTACGAGATTGTCCTACAAAATCATTTTTAATCATAGGATTAGGAAAGTATGAAGGGGAATTTTGCCATTCACCAGTTCCTTGCAAATAATTAGCATTTCCTCCTTCTTTCTGTCGGCAACATTCTTTTGGATATTTATTGTTTAAATATCCATGTTGACAGAACAAAAAATATTCAACAACAAAGGATAAAAACACTGTGGCAGCTGATTATTGTGTTCATTTAATCCTTTTGACAAATATGTGGAGCAGTATGGCTATAATTGACCTTCTCCAATTTCATTATTAATAGGATCTAGAACACACAGGACTTTTTACTGGGATCTGTTAAGATCTCTTGTTGATTTTACAGTGTTTCCTTCCTTCCACTGTTTGCTTTTATTTTATTTTTATTTTTCTATCTTCCTTTTTCTTAGCCAGAAATGTTACCCAACCCAAAATTGGACTTGTAAACATCATAAATTAACTTTAAACAATATCCTAACTAACAACACTGAAATCATGGACAATATGATAAATGACCCAATACAATTGCATTTGAATGGTTGTTGGGAACTTTTACTCCCCTTAAAAAGATTTGTAAAAGATATTATTTCAAAAAATAAAAACATCAGATTAAGAGGTCCCCATGAAATGATGATAAGAATAATCTATCTAGGAAATGTGACAAAAAAAACTATCTCAATTCATTTTTTAAATAAAAGGCATATAATTTTTGTTGCACATGTGTTTAGTAAATGTTTTCATCATTATTACAATTTATTGAATATCAACAGCAAAAATACACATATAACCAAAATTACATAAGCTGTACCCTGAAGAAAGTGTCCAAAATACATTTTAAGGCATCTCAATCTGATTGATTGTCATACTTCAGGTTTTGCCAATCCTGAGTCTTTCATATATATATATTGAACCAAGACTCCTATTGTGTAGCCATTATGCTAGATCCTAATTGGGATTATTGGAATCCATACTTCTTCCATCCTCTGTAAAGAAGTCTAGATTGAAAAAGACATCATATAAGCAATGTTATATGTTTTACTGGATTTCATAGCCAATATCTTTGGGTTATGTTGAGCTTCTGGTTTAGTGGCTGTGGTTTATACAACAGATTTCTTGACATTTCTTGAAGGTGCCATCCACAATCACTGGTGAAAGATCGAGAAATCTGATATATAGATCACAGTCACTAGATCCTGAAGCTCAACACTGCCCAATGTACATGTTGTTTCCAAAAGCAACATGTTAAGAAAAAAAATAAGTATTTAAAAGATGGGAAGAGAAGTGTAGGGTAGGGAAGGGAAAACCATTCTAGAAATGAATTTCCAGATAAGGACATAATTTTACAGACAGTTGAAAATAAATCATTTCAAAACAAGTCAATAAATAATACCAGAAAAACAACTCTGCAGACGTTTTAGACAGTAACTGTGTGCTTGTCTATTTAATCAAATACATTTATCCTTAAACAACTTTATTCTCAGATTATGGGTATTCTTCCTGCTTGTTAGCTTTGCTTTGGTATTAGCATGTAGAATATGTAGCAGAAGTTCTCACATTTACCATATCTCATTATAGTGAATCTCATAGTGAATCTCTCTTTTTTTTTCTTTCAGTTAAAAAAAACCAAATAACTAAAACTATAAATCAAGGCAATATGGAAAGCTGTTTTTATTTGCTACTATAGTGCAACAATAAATGTTTGTTAATCAGAAACATGTATACAAAGCTAGTAAGTATAATCACTCTCTTCTTGGTTTCTATGGCATTTCTCTCTGCCAGGCATTGCACAGTTTATCTCCACTGTCATTTGGATTAATTTGTTTTAAGTACTTAGAATATAAATGAACATTCATGACAACACAGCAGCTTAGGTAGCAACTATGGTGCCAACAAATAGAAGCAAATCAACCTCTTGAAGAGGGAAGTATCAAAACAGCAGGGAGTTTAGCTTTTCTATCAGTCATGCTGAAAAACTGTGTGCTCTACATCATTAATCCACCAATGGATTTATTTTAGACACTGTCTTCTAGTCCAGAGCTTCACATCAAGCCTCAAATTATATTTTTCATTTCAAGACTGAGCATAACCATTTGTCATCTTTATTTGCTATTTGTTTAGTCAATTTGTACAGCTGTTCATCTCATTTAGTGACTCTGGGTGACTTACAACAGCTAAAACAATAATCCAGTAAAAAAAAAGTTAAAAACCAATATACATACATATAATCTGATACATACATATAAAACATTGATAATCTCAAATAACCATGGTCAGTAGCCAAAGTCCACTCTGAAAAGTCCACTTTTACAAAGCCATTATAAAAACTCCCAACCATTGTCAGACTCTCAAGCATGGTGGCAGAGCTATGTCTGTTTCCTCTCATTTTTCATGACTTGCAGTAGAAATGTATTTCACCATTAATTTAGAGCAGTCTACTATGGTGTGCACAGAGCAAGTTATGAAGCAGGCCTGTTACCCATCAACTCTCTGATCCTTACTTGTTAGGTTCCCACTATCCAATCAAATATTTTTTTTCATTATCCAATCAAACTTTTTTTTCAGATAGTGATACCAGTCTGAATCTGATGAGCAGAAAAGCTACTGAACATGAAGTTTCTGTCGTGACCCTTACTCAGTGCCTCTATCTCTGACGTATTAGGAGAAATCGTAAGAGTTGGATCATTCAAATCTCAAGTCTCATTAGTCCTGAGTACTGTACAAGCAAGCATCCCCAGTGCTGAGATATTGGCTCAAGATAATAGAAATCTTACTTCTTTTCTATATTCCCATGTAATCAATGCTTAACAACAATACTTAGCAATATCCAGAACTTTAAATAATAGTTTGTCTGTTATCCACAAAATCATGTTCTGACTCAAAGGATCCTTGAGCTTATTTTTTTTCCAGGATCTTCAATTTTTATTTTGCCAAATAAGAATTCTTATTTGTTGGTTATTCATTTCTGGTTTCCCTTACTAGATGGAACTTTGACAAAAAACAATACACCTCACCAAAAGCAAACATTCTTAGCTAACCATCAAGGAAACGGAAGAGCATCCTCTATTTACCTCTGACAGCTCCACCTTGTTAGTCGGATGGAAAAATAGCCCAAATGTCCCACTATATAAGAGTTTAAGAGTTCAGATGATGTTGTCCTACTGGTCAGAGGCTGGCTGCACATATTGATACCAAGCTCCATTCAAGATGGGGTTTGGTAGAGGACCCAGGATACCATTATGGGTTGTAATTCTAGTGATCTGCTGTATCCAACAGAAAGGTAAAAACTCTATTTTTTTAATGGTACATTTGTAAAAAAAAAAAAAACCAGCAATTAAATATATAATAAATTGATTTTGAAAATAACAATTCATTTGATTTGAAAATTAAATGGATTTTTCAATTTCAACAAGTTCCTTTCCCCAACAGTTAGTACTGTTTAAACTAAATATTTAATGTATCTTCATTGAAGAAAACCTTTTAATTTGATGTAGCCTGAAATAAAAAAAATGCTTAACAACATATCTATGAAGAAGGCTTTGAAGATTAAATCTAATCTTATAAAATATAACTCTCTCCAAAAGTTATTTCATCCTGAACACAAGTTTCTTATCAAAATAATGAGCTTGTATTGATGAGGTTTACTCTATGTGTTTAGAATCCTTTCAGAAGAAAGACTTTTTAAGTTATTCCAACGCCTTCTTTAATTTGTAAAGCCTATATAGAACTTGGAAATTTAATATTCAGAGAAAAATAACAATATCCTTTTTGAACTATACTACTTATTTGAAGAGATTGAAATGAGTGAGGCATTTTTGGCCTAAGAAGAATATTTTGAACTATTTCATTTTTAAATAAAATATTAAATCTTTCAGTCTATAACTAACCTTCAAAAGAACAATAACAGTTAAGAGCTTTCCTTTATAGACAATAAGCTTGTGCAGTTTAGTAGACATGAGTGTATATTCTGTATATGTTGGTTGCTGTTTTTAAGTAGATTAAGTCTCCTACCAAAACTTGAATATTGTTGAGACAGAAAAGGTTATTCATTCTTCTTAACTATATAAATGAAGAGATGGAATGAGACTCAGTTGTTCAGACATCCATGTCTTTGCATCTGACTTCATTTTTTTTCTGGATTACAAAATCTGGATAGCCACCAGATAGGAAGAGTCAGTTTTCTGTATTTTTTTGCACTCATATGAATGCAAATGAATGGGAATCCAATTTTTTATTTGAATTTAGACTAAATGTTTTCCATTTGGCTGTTTTTCAAAGACCAATATGGTTTCATCTCATTGAAGAACCATTAAGGATATCTGTTCTACTGCATCCTGTAATGCATCTGATAGTTACTGCCCCTCTCCTGAATTGAAACACATATCCTGTTATATCATACTATCAATTTATAAGCCCTTTGACTATGTAGGATAGAAATGAAGAAATTATTCATTTCAATCAACTCCACTGATTGTAATTAATCTCTAACTTTAATCCCTGATTCTACCAGTTGCGGTGCTCAAAAATATCATTTTTTCCCATTCAGACAAACAAGATTATTACGGATATAACTCTTGTTACATTATGTCCATATAAAATATTTCTTCATTTTAATTAGATGTTATACTGTATCAATTGTTGGTGGATCTCAAGAATCTCTGCAATCTTTTCAAATGTCCTATTTTTCTACATTTTATGTGGAACTTTCTCCCGCAGATAGTTTCCACATAACTATATGGGGAGTCACTAAAATTGGGTCTAGAAAGTCAATATGTCTTGAGGGTACATGATGAAGGAATGGGGCAAAGACGAGCAAATTGGAGGTGGGTCTTGACATCCCTTTGTGTGAATATCTAACCACCTGTATCAAAACTAATGAAATTTATCATTAAATCCTCAATAAAAGAGATGCATACAATTTTATCAGGAAAACAAAAGAGGCACAGACTGAATTTATTTATGGAACTAAAAAAGGGGAGAAAATAATGAAAAATTCAAGCTCTGCTCATTTGTATCACATAATTTTATCATTGTTTCACCCATTGAGGCCCTTGTTTGACTGCTTCTGCTGTGTATATGTGCACAAATAAGCAAATGTTCTTCTTTTCTCTCCAGTTTCAAGTGCAGAAGATGTACCTGAAAGAGTCACCATCCTCCCACCATTGCAAACAGTGCCTGTTATATCATGTAAGCGACTAAAATGAAATCTTCTTGTATTTATGAGATTTAGTCATGAAGCCAACAATATTAATAAAACATCTGATACAGATAGTCCTTGTCTTATGGCCACAACTGAACCTAAAATTCATGTTGCTAAGTGAGAAATTTGTTAAGTCAGTTTTGCCCAATTTTACAACCTTTCTTGTCACGCTTGTTAAGTGAATCACTGTGGTTGTTAAATTAATAACACGATTGTTAAATGAATCTGGTTTTCCCATTGACTTTGCTTATCAAAAGATTGAAAATGGAGATCACATGACCCTTGGATACTGCAACCGTCATAAACGTGAGTCAGTTGCCAAGCATCCGAATTTTGATCATGTGGCCATGGGGTCCTAAGTGTGAAAAATGGTCATAAGTCACTTTCTTTCAGTGCCATTGTAACTGTTCAAACAGTCTCTAAATGAACTGTTGTAAGTCAAGGACTACCTGTACACAGATTGGTGGATAATTCAGCAGATATGTAACATCAAATATCTCAACAGATTTGGAAAGAATTCCATAAATCATCATGTCTGGTAGCTATTCTTAGAAATTTTAGTAAGAGTTTAAATTATTTTATTTGTTCAAGGATTTTATTTTTGTTGTATTGCTGTTGATTTTACATTCTGAATTTTACCATATCCATATTATTCCATTTGCTGCTAGGCTTTTTTATTCTGCTTTTTATCTAACTGGATTTGGGCTTGGGGATTATTTTGGTATACTTTCGTGTACTTTAAGGCAATAGGCTAAAAACCAGAAGACTTCTTCTAGTTCTGCCTTAGACATGAAGCCAGTTGGATGACCTTAGGCCTGTCACTCTCTCTCAGCCCTAGGAATAAGGCAAGGGTAAACTGCTTTTCAGATCTTGCAAGAAAACTGCAGGAACTTGTCAAAAATGTCATCCCAAAATGAGGGTACAACCCGTGTTTTTCTTCAAACAATTTTTTAAAGAAAAAGATAAACTGTGGTAAATGGATAATGCTATAAGAAAAGAGGACATAGACCATTAGTCAATACTGAATACATAAACTAGTGATTAAAAACTATAAAGCAATCCTGAGTACAGTGAATGTACTCGGAAAATCTTTCAAGAAATATATCACCACTATGTAGACAATTCCCAGCATGGCCAGTATGTTTTTTTTTCTCTACTGTAAGTTTCTTTCACTGGGTACTGGGAAACTAGCTTTAATGCCCTTATCTCTTATCTATCTATCACGACTGGATCTGAAACAAACCATCTGGCTCCCTCCTGTTTGCTGTATACTGTTTTCAAGGATCCTATTTCCCCTATTTCCCATAGAATCAAAATCACATGAAGTATCAGTACCACTTTATAAATCCTTAGTAAGACCACATCTGGAATACAGCATCCAGTTTTGGTCACCACATTATAGACATTTTGGGAAAGGTGCAAAGAAGAGCAACTAAGATGATTAAAGGCCTGGAGGCAAAAACATATGAAGAATGGTTGCAGCATTTGGGAATGGCTAGTCTGGAGAAGAGAAAGACTAGGGGTGATATGATAGCAGGATTTCAGTATTTGAGGGGCTGCCACAAAGAATAGGGGCTCAACTTATTTACCAAAGCTCCAGAAGGAAAGACAAGAAACAATGGATGGAAACTAATCAAGGAGAGAAGCAACCTAGAATTAAGGAGAAACTTAACAATTAACCAGTGGAACAGCTGGCTTTCAGAAGTTGTAGGTGCTTCATCACTGGAGGTTTTTTTTAATAATATTGTATTAATATTCCAATTTTACATTTAAATATTTAAAAAGCAATGTGGTGACTGGTTTAAGCAATAGTTCAATAACAAAATCTTAGTGCAAATCTCAGGTTACAACATCAAATATTTCTTCTCTTTTTCCCTTAACATTTACTGTCTCATATTCAGGTTAGTACATTTCTAATTATATCAACTCAATAAAAACATCATTATTATATTTATCAATAAATTTTTAGCTTATATATATCTTAATTACATTCAATCTTCATAAACAACCCATATCCTGTTATTGATTTTTACTCAATTTTTAATTTCTTATCAATATTCCAATTTAACCTTTGATATTTATAATTTTCAGACTTTGGGTAACCAAAATTTCCCTTATCTCACTTCATAACAAACTATAATATCCAAAGTATATATTTTATCTATTTGAATATAATATTGTTCTATTTCCTAAAAGTTATCTGGAGGTTTTTAAGAAAAGACTGGACAGCCACCTGTCTGAAAGGGTATAGAGTCTCCTGCTTGAGCAGCGGGTTGGATGAGAAGACCTCCAAGGTCCCTTCCAGCTCTATTCTGCTCTTATTTCCACAACAATAGTAATCTGCTGAGCTGTATTTACAGACCTTTGCAACCAGTTTTAAATCTGTCATGATGCAGAGAAATCTGTCCCCTCTTGTAGTCTGCTAAAGGCACAAGACTTCTTTTACTAATGCTGAGCTTATTTCTTTGCACTGCTGTTGTTGTTGTGAGTTGTGAAGTCATGTCCGACCCATCGCGACCCCATGGACAACGTTTCTCCAGGCCTTCCTGTCCTCTACCATCTTCTGGAGTCCATTTAAGCCAGTGGTTCTCAACCTGTGGGTCGGGACCCCATTTGGGGTCGAACGACCATTTCACGGGGGTCGCCAAACAACGCAGTCCGCCATTTTTTCCCCCTTTTCCTTAGCTGTGCTACTCCCTTTTATTCTATTGGCTTTTGAAAGCCAATAGAATAGACTCTCTTGAATAGAGTCTAATTCTATTGGCTTTCAAAAGCCAATAGGAATTGTCCAGCCTGTCTCTGCCCTGCTGAGCCCGCCAAAAGTCCCATTCTGCAAACGGGGCTGCACCAGTTGAGTAGTCCTCGACTTACGACCGGTTGAGTAGCCCTCGACTACTTGCAATGTAGTTGGGGGTCGTGGCATTAAAAAGGTTGAGAACCACTGATTTAAGCTCATGCCTACTGCTTCAGTGACTCCATCCAACTACCTTATTCTCTGTCATCCCTTTCTTCTATTGCCCTCAATCTTTCTCAGCATTAGGCTCTTCTCCAGTGAGTCCTTACTTCTCATTAGGTGGCCAAAGTATTTGAGTTTCAACTTCAGGATCTGGCCTTCTAAAGAGCAGTCGGGGTTGGTCTCTTCTAGGACTGACCAGTTTGAACATCTTGCAGTCCAAAGGACTCGCAGGAGTCTTCTCCAGCACCATAGTTCAAAGGCCTCAATTCTTTGGCGCTCAGCCTTTCTTGTGGTCCAACTTTCACAGTCATACATTGCAACTGGGAAAACCATGGCCTTGACTATACGCACTTTTGTTGGCAGGGTGATGTCTCTGCTTTTTAGTATGCTAGATTTGCCATAGCTTTCCTCCCTAGGAGTAAGCGTCTTTTAATTTCTTGGCTGCAGTCCCCATCTGCAGTGATCTAGGAGCCAAGGAAGATAAAATCTGTCACTACCTCCATTTCTTCCTCATCTATTTGCCAGGAATTGAGAGGGCCGGATGCCATGATTTTGTAACTCATGTTACTAAGTGTCTGATTATGGTTTACTACAGTTGATACACAGGAATGAGGCAGTAATTCTAATCTTGTGGATTTGATTCGTGATTGTCCCACAATTACTCAGCTTTCTCCTCTAGCTTTTTCCTCTAGAAGAGCTTTCTCCACCATGATAACAAATATGTTGGTCTTCATCACACTTGGGAGGACATTAGAGTAGGGGACCGTGGCCTAGGGAAAATCCAGAACTGTTATTATTCCATTTCTAAGTCAAGAACATTAAAAAAAGGAATCAGCTGAGAAAAAGTGGAGAAGGATCCAAATGTTGCAAAGTTCTTCCCTGTCTAAATGTTTGTGTTCTGTGCCTCCCTAGCTATCTATTGATCCACCCCAAACAAAATGTAATAGTGGTGGAAGGTATATGTATTAATTCTTTACATCCTCTTGGGATTTTACAGCCTTCCACTCAGCTCATAATGGACGGGTCTGCAGCACATGGGGTACTTTTCACTACAAGACATTTGATGGTGACATCTATAATTTTCCTGGGGTCTGCAAATACGTATTTGCTTCCCATTGCAATGCACCATTTGAGGACTTCAACATACAACTTAGACACCAAAGAGTTGGGAACACCTCTACTATTAGCTATGTCACCGTGAAGCTGGATGGAACAGATTTTAAAATAGAAAAGGATCAAATTTTGGTAAATGGCAAACGGTAAGTCCTTAGTTCTGCCTGCTGAATAATTTTATTTTGTAGACCTTCTCATCTAGAATTCACAACATACTCTGAATTTTGTATTTCTCAAAATTTTCATGTAGAAGTATAGACTACAGACATAGGCATCCACAAGAAACGGATAAGAGAGGGGAAATCATGCATTGTGACATAAACTCAGCCTTTACATATTTGCATATAACACTAGACCATAAATACAAAAGGGCAGAGAATGGATTGTGATAACACATACACACATTCTGTCACCATTAGGTTAGTATTGAGTACTGTGACCAAACGTGCCTGAAGATGCAGATGTTTGTAATGTCAAAACACTTGCAAATGAGTGTAAGGTTTGAGAACTTCCTAGAAGGCATTATCTCAAACATGTATGATGAAGATAAGTTAGATTTTTTTGGATCAGGTTCTATTACTTCTAACTTTTGGAACATGAGGAAAGAAACAAGCAGAATACCATGATAAGAAGTTATGTACAGTACTTATGTACATAACTTATGTACCAAATACTTATGCCATCTCATTAGATTACCTTTTTGTCTGTTGTAGGTTTAAATATAGGAAGGGTTGCACTGAGGCAATCCTTAAGTGAGTTGATAGCTATGTCACCAAAAAATATGAAGAAGCTATATAATGGTTAGAATAAATTATCCATCTGAAACTGCTCTTTTAGCCAATAGGAGAGGGCAAGAACAAATTACTGTACTTTTGGATTTGGAAAGGAATAGGAAGTTTCATTTAGGTTTTATATATTTGTTATCTCTTTAAATTCACCTTCACCAATATAGATCCCTGCTCATTGGTCATGCTGATTGAAAATGATGGTTGGAACATTCAAAGAACCCTATACTGAGAGTAGCTTGCCTATAGGCATATCTGCATTTACAATTTAAGATGCTTGTGTCCAGTAAGATGTGTCCAGTGTCTAATGGTCATACAGACTTGGCTTTAAGCCAGTTTATCCAGACTGAGACACCTGGGCAATAGATTGCAAGATATTCATGCTAGATTGCAAACTCTATGACCTTCCACTGGACAGTTCCCCACCACTACCTTTCTTTTCTGAGAAAACAATTGTCAATCACCTTCTTTCATGTGGATAGCCTTACAAGAGGTATATACAGTAAGTGTAGTGGTGGGATTCAAATATGTGAACAACCGGCTCTCTGTGTGGATGCTGCTTCTGGAAGTCCATTCTGGGCCTCTGCAACAAAAAATTAGCTACCAGTTCTGCCGACGTGATGTGAACTGGCTGAATCCCACCACTATGTGTGTGTGTGTGTGTGTGTGTGTGTGTGTGTGTGTGTGTGTAGACAAAGTTGAATTTAAATATACAAAGATGAAGTATGAAAATATGCAGGCATAAGAAGCAATTCTTTTACAGAATAATCCTTTCTTACTGCCTTATGGATTTTAGAGCTATCTGTATAATGAATATTGTGATAGTGTAATTGTTAATGTACAAATAGACCTCAACTTAGGACCACAGTTGATCCAAAAATTTCTATTGCTAAGCAAGGTAGTTGTTAAGTGAGGTTTTGCCCCTTTTTATGACCTTTCTTGCCACAGTTGTTAAGGGAATCACTGCAGTTGTTAAGTGACTCATGCAGTCATTAAAGCAAATCTGGCTTCCCCATTGACTTTGCTTGTCAGAAGGTCGCAAAAGGGATCACATGACCTTGGGACACAACGACGGTCATAAATATGAACCAGGTGCCAAGCATCTGAATTTTGATTCAAATGGCCATGGGGGTGCTGCAATGATTGTAAGTGTGAAAAATGGCTACTTGCTGTAACTTTGAATGGTCAATAAATGAATGGCTGTTTAAGTCCAGGATTAGCTGTACTCGCTTTATAAAGAGAGAGAGCTGTGGTTTGAATGAGGCCAGAAAGTTTTTTAATTAATATTTTTTCTTCCTTGAATTTGTTAGATTTCTCCACGAATTTATTATTATTACTATTAAGTCTGTCCGTGCATTGTTTTATTTTTTTTCTAATCATTCATAATTGAGTATTATCAATTAGCACTCACATTAACCATAGTTCTAAAGATATTATAAGTCAAAATAAGTAGTGACTCAGTTGAAGGGGCATTTCTGCCTCTGCCAAAATAGCTGGTGATCTTTTGCATTTAGCCTTCAACTCGAGTAGACTGTTGGAAATAGTCAGGAGCACTCAATGTAATATGGAAAAATATACTTAGAAAGTGGAGAAGAAATTGCCCCCATTTAGGACTAGTGCAGGGGTAGGCAACCTTGGGTCTTTTATGACTCGTGGGATTCAACTCCCAGAATTCCTGAGCCAGCCATGCCCACGAGTCATAAAAGAGCCAAGGTTGCCTACCCCTGGCCTAGTGGATAAGTCTAAAGACAATGGTGGCTCTTTAAGCTACTATTTGCCTATGTTCTGCCCATATCTTTTATATTAACAATAATACAAAACATCACCAAGAATTGAGTACCTCTCTTCAAAAAAATGAAACAGACTTAAGTGAATACTGCCTCCCTAAATTTCCATAAAAATGAGGCAAGTAGAAATATTGTGACATAAATGACACTCTGTATTTCTAATGCATTCTTATCAGGATTCACTTACCTTACAATGGACCTGGATTTGAAATAGAGCATTTTTTCAACTATATTAAAGTGGATAGTAAGATGGGCTTAACCCTAATGTGGAATAAAGATGACAGTGTAATGGTAAGTATATGATGACATAAAGAACTGATAAATGTGAGCTGTAACAAAATACGGATGGATGGAATGGTCTTGTTTCAGATGCCAGCTTCTTTCAAGATACTCTGTTCCATTCTCAGTTTTTTGTTTTTGTCTCCAGCACACTTCCTGAATTCTGTGATTTCTGATCATTCTCACTTTTAGAGCTCACTTCCAACATAAAGAGACAACTGAAGTTAAGCTATCTTTGTGCTTGATTCAGAGGTCCTGATAACAGCACTAGTTGCTTATTGGGGCAAGGCTTTGCTTATATATATATAAAGCCACACATGACTTGCAACTATATACATCCCAGATCATCCCTCTCAATACAGATATAATCATTAAAATTCAAAAGTCAGGTTTACTTGCAAGGGGACCATCTCAGAAGTGGCAGATACATACTGAAATGTTCTCCCTCAGTGCTTGAGGGAGCCTCATTTTATCATCCAAAACGGGTAATAATGAAAAGAGATGGCTAAGCTGGAATCATAACTCTACATCTAAGTTCAAGTTTAATATATCAAGCAAAGAGATGGCTCAAATTAAGCATTAATCAATTGGCAAACCAGGGTAATATAACAATTAAATTGGGGACTTTACTGTAATTGGGGAGTCCTAGGTTTAATCTCCACTGAAACATGGCTGAGGTAATAATTCTGTCTCTGGTCAATCTATCTTAAAAAATGTTGTTATGCGATAAGTCTAAGGAATGATCCTCTGTATAACAGCTTGAGTTCTCAGAGAAAAAATAGGATATAATAAATGAAATAAAATAAGACATTGAGTAGAAATGCAAATACCAAAGTAATATTTGTTCCTCCTTTAAACTTCTCAGACTAGCTATAAAAACAAGGAATGTTCTTTTTAACATTAACGTCCTTAAATATCTTATTTAAAAAACCTTTGTCACAGAAGTAAGCTACCAAGTATGTTTCCATACTTGACATTTGATTATTGTTTTTAAAGATGAAAGCACATTTGGATTATATACAGTTAGTTGCCAAGCATCCAAATTTTGATTATGTGACTATGGGGATACTACAATGGTCATAATCACTTTTTTCACTGCCATTGTAATTTTGAAGGGTCACTAAATGCACTGTTGTAAGTCAATGACTACCTGTACATGTTATCAACTTTCTCATATGTAATTTCAGCTGGAACTTGATATAAAATATGCCAATCACACCTGTGGACTTTGTGGAGATTTTAACGGCATTCCCAAGTACAAAGAATTTTATTTCGACAGTAAGTATTAAAAAAGGGGCTTAATGAATTTAATTATTACAGTTTATGGCTCTTTATTCAATGGGTGCTACAGAAACATACTGTAATTTTTCATAATCCTGACTTTTCAATATGTTGGAATAGCAGAAAACACTGTTTTTTTTCTGAATATTTTGATCTTTGTATTAACTACCTGGTAATTTTGCATCATATCTGTCATTCTTCAGTTTTAACATCTTTAGACGTTGGATGAATATTAGGTTCTATATTCATCAAAACTATGTTCTCAAACTTTAAGTGTTCTCAGATTTAATACTTTAGTCTCTTTGTTCTCTGACTTAAGAATATCGAATCATTTGTGATTTTAAAATGAATATGTAGATATTTTATTATATTAAGTTTGTAAGAAGAGAATGTATGACATTTGAAACCAAAACAAAATGTTTTTTTCCTCTTTAACACAATATCAGGGTCATAAATTGTACTGAAAAGTTAAACAACAATAATAAAAATCTTTCCTGCAGAATCCAGTGGCAAAGTACTTTCAGAGTGTCATCAAGAATAGGGGTCCCCAACTTATGGGCCATGGCCGGTCCCGGGCCTCGGGCTCTTGGTCAGCCGGCTGCAGAAATGGTTGGCCAGTGCATGCACACATGGGTGCACATTCCCCACACTTGTGCTAGCATCAGCGGCCCCGTTTGCGCATGCATGCAGGCATGTGTGAATGGGGCTGCTAATGCTGCGCCACTGCACGCGGGCCCATTTGCGTTTGCATGCGAGCACCAATTTGAAAACTGCTCTTCTTCCCTCCGGACTGTGAGCCTTGCAAGGTTGGAGATCTCTAGTCAAGAACAACTGCATGGCATCTATATAATTGCCAGGAATTAACCTTAACTCAAGAGTGTCTTTTCATTTTTCCCATCTCCTTATTAAATCACCTCATATTTTATGCAGAGATAGATTCTGAGATGTCTACATCAATATAATTTCATATGAAAAACATATATTCTCTCTCATGTATGAAAGTTGAGGTGCTACAAACAGGAAAGAGCTCTTTAATGTATTGGGGATTGGATTTAGATTAATTGGGCTACTCTGCTTTTCTTGAAACCACACAGACTTTTAGATCTCTAACAGCTTTCATAGCTAATTTGACATGGCTTTCCTGAAAGGGAATCTTAGCCAGAGGTACCATTAGCATGCAAATCTCTATTATGACTTTATTTTTTGAAGATACCCCCATAACAGACTTCCAGTTTGGGAATCAATGGAAGAAGAATGATCCAACAGAAGATTGTGAGGATCCCATACCTCCTTCTCAGAAGAACTGCATTGATGAATATGTGAGAATTTTCTTTCTTGTCTGATTTGCATAAGGATTCTATAATCTTGAGTTTAAAATGTATTAGTTGCCATTTCGCTGAAAATAATTGATTCTCCCTCAATCCTCTCCACAGCTATATTATAATATTTTGTGTGATGGAGGGTAGTGAGGAAGTGAAATTTCAGGAAGGAGGGGAATGCATTCCAGAAGAATAAGAAGGAAACTCAGTCCAGATGTTATGTATGAGAAGAGAGTAAAGACAGCCCCACCTTAATATTCACAGACTATATTGTAGATGCAGATAGCAGAGTGCTCAGTCTGGCAAGATTTTTTCCTATGTGTGAAACAATAAAGAACTCAGCTTGGAAGAATTACCACGTATCAATCTTGGTTTGGGGTCTGACATCTTAGGTTCGAATCTAACTTTGGAGAAAGGGCTTATGTTACTGTGTAAAATATAGTGATCTAATCTATGATATAAGCATGAAAAATGAGGGGCTTTTTTTTAAGGGAAGGGCCCCATTTTAGAAGGAAATCGTTTCATAAAATCTTTTGCCTTTTGTTTTTCCACTTAGGATATTTGTCGGAAAACACTAACTGGTTCTGCATTTTCTGAATGTAATGATATTGTGGGGGTGAAAAGCTACATTGATGCTTGTGTACATGACCTGTGTCTCTGTGATGAAGTTGAAAAATCCTCCTGTCTCTGTGACACTTTCTCTGAATATTCTCGACAATGTGCTCACGCCGGTGGCCGACCTCAACAATGGAGAAGCGCAGAACTATGCCGTAAGTGTAAATTTCTGTCAAACAGTGACAAAAGTGATTTGAGTGTAATTTCTCCCCCTAGACTTCATCAGGATTTTTTATTCAGATTCACTTTTTAGTTGAAAATATGGAAATTAAAATGTGCTGCCAAAACAAGAAACTATAAAATTGGAAGGTTGAAAATATATGAGTGCAACAGAAAACAATAAATAAACATTACATTATAAATAAAACATTACATTTCACAGATCTCTGTACTGGTTATAGATTTATGAACAGCTTGAAGGATCAGAGAAGATGCAAGTCTTACCTTCTCAGACAATAGACAGCTCAGACTACGAACTTAATCATTCTTCAAAACTACTAAAACAAATTAGCACTATTCTTTCAGCAATTACATGAAGAAAGCAACTGGATGAACAACTGGATATGTGCTTGTGTGTGGCAAGCTCTGTTTTTCTGCTCACCTATTCAGCTAAGATGAGAAACAGCTGAACTGGGTTATAAATCACTGAGGAATCATGTTCTTGCTTATATTGTTTCTGCTTTCAAGAAGTCTTGAGCAATCAAGGAACAAAGGAAAAGGAGAGAAAAATCTCAGAACAGATAGCTTAAAATGTAGTGGCCCACTTGTTACCTGGCACATGTCCCCAAGAAGCATTATACCTATGCTGTGACCCCTGCTTTGGCTTCAAGTAGGCTTCCAAGTGCAAATTAAAATGCTAATTTTGCTGTATTAAGACTTATATTCTTGGCATCTAGATATTCTTAGTACTGAATTCTTCAACCTGGATTGATTGTACCAAGAGAAACTATACTGGTTCTTCCTATAAAGTAAGGAGAACTGAAGCACTGAGGTGCTACTTCTCCATGATAGCATGCAATCTCAAACAGTCTTCTGGCAGAGATCAGGCCAAATCCCTGTTTTCAAATGATGCTGAAAACCAAGCTCTTCCACAGAGCTTTCTTAGTATGAGCGACCGCTATATGGATTTTTGTTGTTTGTTGGTTTTAATTTTGATTTTCATTGGGATATTATGATGATGTTGATTATTAAGATGCAATTGTCCTGCTATCTTTGTTAATTGCTGAGAATTCTTTAAATTTATGGCATGTTGCAAGTCTAATGAATGACGTGATACATATTAGCTATGATGATTCTCTGTCAAGCTTTTTTATGCACAATATGCTGTATAGAGAACTGACCTGGTCTTACTGTTCTTATTTCAGCAATAACATGCCAGTTGGATATGCAGTATCAAGAATGTGGATCACCTTGTGCAAATACTTGTACTAATTCTGAAAGATCTCATGTCTGTGAAGATCACTGCATAGATGGCTGCTTTTGTCCACCTGGTAAGATGCCATCTTCAGCTTAAATCATTCTGTTATGAGAGGATATAGTGCTATGTATACTGTACTAGTGTGCCATAAACACAATAATAAAATAGTATTGTCTAGTATATATACTCTCTTCAATACTTTCTGAACAAAATTTGATATAGAAGAATTTCAACAAAATGAAACTGTTCTGGCACATATTGAAGATCCATTATAATTTATTTTCTCCCCTAGGAACTGTTTTTGATGACATCAACGGCAAAAGCTGCATCCCCTTTGATCAATGTTCCTGCATTTACAATGGAGAATCCTATGCTCCGGGGATGACATATTTAGCTCCGTGCCGTTCTTGGTAATTAATATCTTTTGCTAAATTCAATTAATGTTTTGTGCAGGAATCTAGCTTTCATCTGTGATGTCAATATTTTTGATTTGTACTCCCTGATTTTAGGCTCTGATCTAAAGTCCATACTTCCATTTATCCTCTCAGATTGCATATATTACATCTGGCTATTAATCTATCCTTTAGATTCATTCAAAAGCAAGATTCTGATGGATTTTTAAAACTAGCTGGGTAACTAAAGAACAGCAATTAACTAAAGAACATACTGTTAATCTAAGACTCTTTAAGAGAAAGAAGAAAATAGAATGCTATCTTTTGCAGGTCATCTAATCCAGTACTGTTCACTATGACTGACAAAAGCTTTACAAGATAAGAGACAAAGGTTTTTGCATAGTTGCAGCGATTACCTCTTCCAAACGTACAGTGGAAGACAACACATCTTTTTTATTGGCTGATAAACATTCAGAAATCTCAAAAAGTATTGCAAAATATTGCTCAATCATGGTTGCAATAAGGATACATTGGGCATAATTAAGCACTGTCATATCTTTCATGCTGGAAGATAATAAGCTATATATTTTTCTCTTTAATATTTTAGTGCACAGTTTCATATTGATGTTTGATACTACATTTGGTCTAGCAGCATAAATAAATAAATCTACATGGAAACACTTCTATTAGTTTCCAGGAAATAAGGCTATGATCATGTAGTAGATCATGCCTGCCCTAGATGATGATGATGGAGGCAGGTTGTTTCACTGATTAATTGTTCTGTCAGGAAATTTCTCTTTAGTTCTTTTGAATTACAAGATAACATTGATTGACTCAATCAAACAAAGTGTCTATATTTATGTATTCAAAGTGGAGGTTTAATTGATATTATAGCAAAATAATACAAGTTAAATAAAGTACTTTTTCTTCAAAGTTACATTCCTAACTTTAGATTCTCTTTCCTCCAGTGTCTGCAGTGGTGGCGAGTGGAATTGCACAGAGCTTCCTTGTCCTGGTATTTGCTCAATAGAAGGAGGATCACATATCTCCACCTATGATGAAGTGTGGTATAATTTCCATGGAAAGTGTAATTATATTTTTACCAAGGCAAGTCATCTTTCATATTAGCAAAAATGTCTTTGTCCCATACATAGGTACATACTTAAACTTGAGCTTCTATTTCTGGAATTATAAAATTCCAGATGTTCCTGATGTTAATCCATTGCTATAAATATTATATCACATGATTTATCCAGTTTCTATTTCTAGATTTTATTTATATCTTGCATCTTTCCCTATAAAATGGTATAGGTTTTTTTTTTACATTTGTATGTTAAAAAGAGGAACTTTGGTGATGGAGAAGAACTTCACCAAGCCAGGAAATGTAAATGATAACCATTTTAATCTGATTAAATCAATTATTATATTAGTGTGGTCTAAAAAGCAGTTAGAACTCTGTATGCTGCCCAATAAAGTGGTTTGATAATGAAAACAAAATTAAGGTGGCTAGGAAGAGACTGAACAATTCGAAAAATGCCCTAAATTAATCTGGCTCTTCACTTCTGGTTCGATGTTTAATATTATGAAAAAGAAAATAAATGAGAATTTCCTGTTTTTCCAACCAAACTGGACTCATATTATTCCCTTTCTTTGCAAAGTCAATCAAATTACTTTACATGACTAACATTATTTCTATAGAAGTTATCCCAAAATATTTTTGAAGTAGCATCCTTGAAATCTGTCTGTTGTGTCAATATCTTCTTCCTGGTCTCTCTCCTCCAGATTTGTGATGAAGAAACCTTTACTGTTCTTGGAGATCTTGGGCCATGTGGCCTCACAGAATTTGAGAGCTGCTTAAAAATGGTGGCTCTTACCATCAATGGAGGAGAAACTGTAAGAACCGCAATGAGTCCAAATGGCCCAGGTGCCATTCAGTTCATAATCTACTTGTAATCATTGGGCTTGCCTAGCAGCCTAAAAACTACCTTTTGCTGACAAAATAATGTCATGTCTAATAAGCAGAATTGACTTCTTTTTCTATATTTAAGCAAGAATTTTATTGCTAGAAGTAAAATGGGGGAGCTGTAGAGCTTTGGTATACAGCGGTTTAATTTCATTTTCCTCTTAAGTAACAGTTCTGTTAAATTCCTATCGACAACTAATGTACTCGTGAGGAAAAACAAAATAAAACACTGTGAGAAATTAGACAAGGGGGGACATGATAGCAGTATTCCAATATCTCAGGGGCTGCCATAAAGAAGAGGGAATTAAGCTATTTTCCAAAGCACCTGAAGGCAGGACAAGAAGCAACGGGTGGAAACTAATCAAGGAGAGAAGCAACCTAGAACTAAGGAGAAACTTCCTGACAGTGAGAACAATTAATCAGTGGAACAGCTTGCCTCCAGAAGCAGTAAATGCTCCAACACTGGAAGTTTTTAAGAAGAGACTGGACAGCCATTTGTCCGAAATGGTGTAGGGTTTCCTGCCCGAGCAGGGGGTTGGACTAGATGACCTCCAAGGTCCCTTCCAACTTTACTACTATTATTATTACTATTATTATTATTATTAAAGGGGACAATCGACTTTCAATCATTTCTGCAGCTCTCTGAAAACCTACCTAGAGAGTTGAAAGATACTTCAGAAGAGCATAGAAAATATCACAGTAGATGACCAAAAGTATTGTTCATGTGAGGATAAATTTGCATCTGATAGGATGGATGATAGCTGTTTTATAAATCCTGCCCTATATGCTTTTCCAAAAGCCATAGGCTGTATCTTCTCTCTATTGTAATGAAAGGATAAGAGAGAGTTAGATATTCAAAGATAGTGCTTTGAATCAAACACACACACACACACACACACACACACACAGAGAGAGAGAGAGAGAGAGAGAGAGAGAGAGAGAGAAACAAACCCACACACATGGTTAATATAGCTCAGAGAGGCTTGTTTCTTTAGATGTTCATCTCCAGATTAGTTTGTTGTTACAGAGTTTTGACATCTTTTATCCTTTCTGTGTATGAGTGCCTATCCACACAAAGGGTGAGTTTTTCATGATAGATAGATAGATAGATAGATAGATAGATAGATAGATAGATAGATAGATAGACAGACAGATTTCATATTTCTATTTATCAGTTTCTAAAATCATGAAATCCATTGATTATTTTTTCTTTATTTTTACTCACCAGTTTGCTGCAATCAACCGCAAAGGCAAAGTAATTGTTAATGGGATGTCTGCTCAGCTGCCTATCTCAGTAGGTATGTAGTTCATTAGAAATGTCTGGTTGTGCAGAAGGAAAAGTTGTAAATCTTAAATGTACTCCGCATATAAAATTTGGTTTGATATCTGATTGACAACTGAGTTGACAATCTGGAAAAGGAATTCCTTTTGGAAAGTAAAGCTCACTATCCCTGCTTCAATCTTAGTTTCTGAAAATATACAGCTTTTAAAAGACTTTAGAAACCTCAGCTGTACAGATTAGTACAATCAATTGATTAAGAGACCTGCCTCAATAAGCATTTTTTTTACTTTATTTCATCGGATTCCAAGTTTGTTTCCAATTAAAGTTCAAATTCTTGATAATATTTTGCCAAGATTTTGATGAAATGTTATTTGTCAGATTGATGAATATCTGCTGAAGAATTCACATTATTTTTCTGTTAGTATCACTACAAATTCCTCAAAAATTGGTTAAGCAACAGTATAGGCAATCTGACCTACATCTTTAACAATTTCAGTCCACCAATAAACTAGTGAAAAAATTGATTTTTTTAAACCACCCTACCAGATAAATACAGTGGTAATTCCTGTGCAGCCTTTATCCTTTTGAGTGGTTTGGGAACTGGGGTGAAATCCTTCTACTTTAAGTAGACCTCATGTTACACTGGTGAATAAAGTCACTGTGGGCGGCCATATAAATTTGCTTATTAAATAAATAAAATAGATAATAAATAAAACTGATTAAAATCATAAAGTGGGTAAGAAAAAGTTAATAATTTTTAAAAAGTTGTTGCTGACCAGCTTTTACCTGATGACTTGTAGAATGTGAGTCAAAAGTAACAGCTACTATTCTACTATAGCTTTATTATAGCAGTAACTGCAGCAGAAAACCAAACTTTAGAAAGCTGAGGAAATGAAGTTTTGTTTTAGACTGGCTGCTGTGCCTGTATATATATGTGAATTTTGATGCTTTAACTTTGTAAATTGCATTAAGGTTTTCAAAAGGTCTATATGCCCTATATGTCCTGCCCATGGGGAGATGGGGTGAAGGAAAGAAACGGGCTAGTTAGACAGTAAAATGCTTTATTAACTGTGGGTCCAAATAGAATAGCTAATTGTTACCATAGCCAAAGTTGAAAAAAAGAACTGATAACCAGAAAATGGATTTTTAATACTGCTTCATTTCTGGCCAGTTTATAATGGGAGACAAAGAGCTGAAAGCAACCATGTAAAACAACATGCTACACTCTTAACTAATTCAGTGAAATACACTGTGCACACCATATCATTGGAATGACAATTGAACACATGGTAAAAGTAATTGTACTGGCTTTTTTTTAATCAAGCCCTGTACCATATTCCCAATTCACTAATATGTTGGCAGCAACTGACTACCCAAACTTTAGCTCCTCTTCTCCTGAAGAACTGCAAATGCTGGTTTATTCAGAATGACATTTATTCTTTCCCCGTAGCTAATGTAACGATCTTACAGCCTTCAAATTCCTTCATCGTTCTGGAAACAAATTTCGGGCTTCAGATAGTGATCCAGATTATTCCCTTGCTACAGATAAACATTTATCTGGATCCATCTTTCCAAGGGAGAATGTGTGGTAAGGAATATTTCAAAATTATATGCCTTTCCTAGGTTCAAAAAGTTATTTTGCCATCTTTCAAATTATAAATTTCTTTTAAAGGTCTCTGTGGCAACTTTAACCATAACCAGAGAGATGACTTCAAAACCCTAAATGGATTGATAGAAGGAACAGCAACTGCATTTGCTAATACCTGGAAAACTCAAGCTGCCTGTGACAACATTAAACAGGATTTTAATGACCCTTGCACCCAGAGCATTGAAAATGGTGGGCAGAATTACTCCAAAATAGCTGTTCTTTAAAACAGTCCATCTCAATTTCTTCTACATAGTTATTAAGGGAAAACTCAATAGAAATCTTACAAGGGAGGGGGGAGGACTAAAAGCAATGCATTAACAGTGAGAGTGAAAAATCAGAAAATGTGCAGATTAAGATCTAGTAAGCAGAGTTTGAGAAAGAATTAGTTGTATGAGATAAATGGACTCAAGCTTATATTACTCTTTTTCAGATGTAAGTATAGTCGTCTGTATTGTCAGGCTATTAATGTGAACATTGAAACTAGACATATAATCTGTGATGAAACTTGCCATGTATCTCTGTAGAAGTGGTCCAAATATGGATGTATTGCTTCTCTTTTTAGAAAAATATGCCCGTCATTGGTGTGGACTCCTGACTGATCCTGAAGGACCTTTTGCTAAATGCCACCTCATAGTGAATCCAAAGGCTTATCATACGGTACTATGATCACCCATTTTAATTAAGAACGTTGACAAGGAAAGACATTAACAATGGTGGGAAGTAAGGGTTAGATGCAATCATCCTTTAGGGGAGGAGTGGACAGGGGTTATTTGTGGCCAGATTTCAATAGGCTGATTTTGCAGAAAGTTCTGTAAACATTTTTCCCTCCAGTGGATCTTTCTAAAGAAAAACAGACTGAATTTCACCCACAGAGCTGGATTTTCAATATCATGTGTTACATTGCCAAAATGATGTGAAAGCACATTCAGTCATTCTACTAACAAAGCCTGACATATCCAGATCAATGGGTAGAATATACCTCAGGAGTTTGACAGACTAAAAGGATTGCTGCTGAAATCTGATTGGATATAAAATTTCAATTTGGTGGCAGGATAGCAATAGCACTTAGACTTATATACCACTCCATAGTGCTTTACAGCACTTTCTGAGAGGTTTACAGAGTCAACATGTTGTCCCCCAGTAATCTGGATCCTCATTTTACTGACTTTGGAAGTATGGACGGCTGAGTCAACCTCGTAACAAGAAATGACTTCGATTAATTTGATTAAAAATTAATTGATTATTTGATTAAAAATATGCTTCCCTTTTCTAGAACTGTATGTTTGATGCCTGCGCTTGTGAGAAAAGTGAGAATTGCATGTGTGCTGCCCTCTCTTCCTATGTCAGAGCATGCAGAACCAAAGGAATTGAACTTGCAGGATGGAGAACCAGTGCTTGCTGTAAGTAATCTGATAAAACAATTCAGCAAGGAATTATAGACTATGATTTTAAAAAATTTAGTGTGGTGCTGCAAAGGAATGGACTTTTGAATGTAATTTTAATGCTAATCTCCAGCTCTTTTGCTGGCATTTTAGGAAATGATGAATTTCTGATGGACCTGTATATCTTCCTTACATCCATCCCAGATGTTTGGGATGTGATCCATACAAAGATGATTTTTAAAAGCATCTAGAAATTACTATTAATTTGCAGCAGCCAAACTACAAGGCTACATCCTTGGAAAACATACATAAGATGGTTTTCTATTTTCACTGGTTGTCTGTTTGTTGCTGAGCTTTAAGGTCCTCTCCCTCTGAATTAATTTATCTGGAACCTGGATATATGAAGAATTATGTATGTATTTGGAGTAGTAGACAAAACTGTGCTTGATAGACTTTTTAAAAAGGGATTTTTTTTATATTGTGGCACTAAACTATGAAAGGTTTTCTGATAATTGGTGCTCTGAGATCTATTTGCCATTAAGTATACAATCGGCTCTTTAACAATACATGCAATACACATGCCAGCTCCATTTGGAACATACACAAGTGTAATTCTCATAAGGGAGGTTTATATACCTGTTTCCACCTTAATGGATAACACATTGATTGAGGACAAGAACAAAAACCTTCTCTATGGTGTAGATTAAAAAAAATTATAGGGATAGTTAAGAGCAGGGGGTTGTGTTGTAATCAAAGAGGGAAATTCTGGCTTTATCAGTTTCAGTGCCTTGGTCCTCAGTCAGATCTTCTGCTTAAATTCAGCCTAGCTATTTTCAAAGCTAAAATTGTGTATTGCTAGAAGAGAAAGACCACACCAGGACAAATCATCATTAATTTTCTTCTTAGAGAAGAGTTTGGCATTGTATGGTAAGAGGATTCAAGTTACAAACTCAGAATATACAGAGTATGTCAGTCTCGTGAATGCTTTCATTTGGTCCCAATTTTTTTCAACCCTCCCAACAAGGTAAGGTTGCTGCTTTCCCTTTACATTACTAATTTCGAGATATTTTCAAGAAGGCTGCAGTGTTGTTGCACTTAGTTGTTTTTGTGTAGATGTTTTATTATTCAACTAGATAACATGATCAGGGCTAGAAGGGAGTTAAGTTTGCAAATAGCTATGGCTTAAAGATCTTTTTGGTGCATTTCATACAGTATACATTGTTTCAGGCTTTTCTCATAACTTTTCATTATTATCTATTTAAATCTGCAGTATGTAATATATATATATATATATATATATATATATATATATATATATATATATATATATATAATGCCTAGTCTTGGAACTGTAAATAAATAAATTCTAAACACTCGATGTTGTTCTAAATGGGGTGTGCTTAGTTCCTTTCTTCTGCTTTCAGCACAGATGTGGCGGTGTGTATGTTATTATTCACCTTCTCTGTGTTGTATTCTTGTTTTCTTCTTTTAGCTTTATCAGCTTTATTAGCAAATTTGGGAAACTTGGGATCAACAGAGAGTCAATATACCATAAAAATAACAATTATTTCTTTTTCTTCCTTCAAGCCAAATACACTACTTCATGTGCCAGATCCCTGAATTATAGCTATGAAATTAGCTCTTGTGAACCTACTTGCCGATCACTGAGTGAACCTGATATTACATGCCACATCAAATTTGTCCCAGTTGATGGCTGTACATGTGAAAATGGAACTTACATGGATGATTCTGGAATATGTGTGCCCGCTAACAAATGCCCCTGTTATTACAAAGGCATAGCCATGCTCCCTGGTGAAGTTTACCATGAGTTTGGCGTTGCATGGTAAGGAGATACAAGTTACAAACTAAGTTGGGCTATCAGAATAATATAAAATAGTGTCAGTCTAGAATGTTTTCATTTGGTCCCAAGTATTTTTACTATAAAGGTACAATGGCACTGCTTAAAAGCATAAAGTGCAGAGTGTGGAAGAACTAAGATTTATTACATGTACAAGTCTATTTGTGAATGCTAAATACTTAATGTTATACCCAGATTATGTTAGATACTCTGCCTTTGAAGTGTTTTTTAGAGTAAAATAATAATTTGCAGCTTCTCAACTCAAAAAAGAAGTTTTTTGAATTCCCAGATAATCTGGACACAATAATCATTCCCGTTTCTTTTACTCAGTACTTGTAATCAAGGAAAATTAAACTGCTACGGTGACGGAGACTCCAAGCAAGGTAAGGAATACACATTATCCTCATGGACATTTCTTGGTACATCTCTCCAGTTAAATTAAACCAGCTTAGTTAAAATAGCAGTATGTAATAAAAATAATCCAGAAACAAACCAGCAATTTAATATTGTCTATGGTCCTGAGCATGATAACTGGAAGTAAGTTCCATTGCACAAAATGAACCTTACACCTAGGTAAATAGACACAGGTTAAACTGCAAATTAATATGTTAGTGAGAACCATTTATCTTGTAGATGGATTGACAAAGAATGTAATTATTACCTGGACCTAATTTGTGTCTAATGCCTAAACTATATTAGCGATTTCCACATATTTAAAAATTATTTAAATAGTAAGAAAATAGAAAAAAATCTTTTTTTCATCAAAAAAGTTGGGTATGGAAAAAATATAATGTTTGAGAGATGAGAAGATGTATAATTCAAAGGCTGATAGTATCCTTTTTAGAAATATTTCTTGGCTGTAAATTGCATACAAAACTAAATGCTGGTTTTCTTGCACATTTTTGGAAACAGAGGCAGAATAGATTCATTTTGGGATATATTTTGATAATGACCTGAACTGGACTCTTTTCTTTCTTTCTTTCTTTCTTTCTTTCTTTCTTTCTTTCTTTCTTTCTTTCTTTCTTTCTTTCTTTCTTTCTTTCTACCTCCCTCCCTCCCTTCCTTCCTTCCTTCCTTCCTTCCTCAATAACTTAATTAAAGGCTCAATAACAACTGAAAGTTGGTAAGACTTTATTCATGCAAATGAATAAAGTTAGTTCCAAAGACTTTGCACATCTTTTGCCCAATTCTTTTGACCCATGATATCTATACCAACTTTTTCTCTCTTCTGGATAGATTGTACCGCTCCAATGGTTTACTTTGACTGCAGAAATGCCACCACTGACAGCAAAGGGGCTGGATGTCAGAAGAGCTGTCAGACTCTTGATACACATTGTGTAAGTATTCAGGTCCTATCTGAGAGACTGTATTACAAATCAGAAAACAATTCCATATACCTTGAAGGCATGAACTAATCTTAGACAAGTCACCCTTCCCCAGTCTCACCTTGCCCAGTTCCTTCTGGATCCTATTATTCCATCTTCTTCAGTGTCTTGGAACCAGTGGTGAGATTCAAATATCTGAACAACCGGTTCTCTGTGTGGATGCCCCTTCCAGAAGTCCATTCTGGGCCTGGACAACAAAAAATTAGCTACCGGTTCTGCTGGTACTGGTATGAACTGGTGCAAACTGGCTGAATCCCACCAGTGCTTGGAACACAGAGCTCATTCATTCAGAAACCTACTATCATCCCCTCAAATACACATATACAGATAGAAGAACTTCTGGGTATGGACTGGAGTTATTAATTCAGGTGGTCATTCCCTATTGACAATTCTAGCTGAATTGACACCACTATTGTATTTAAATTGAGCCACCCTTATTTAACCCTGACTGGAAAAGCAAATTATATGACTGCTTATTTGCTCTTTCCTGAGTCATATTTTCTTCTTGATGCTTACAGTACAGTCCACAGTGTGTTTCTGGTTGCATATGTCCACACGGACTAGTATCAGATGGGAAAGGCAGCTGTATTCCTGTAGAAGAATGCCCATGTATTCACAATGATGCTACATATCAGCCTGGAGAAAAGATCAAAGTTGATTGTAACACTTGGTAAGCATTTGCTAGTGAACACAGTGCTTCTTGTTAGATATATATTCCTAAAGTAAAATGCCCATATTGTCCTTGGGGGGAACACCCCATCAACAACATGCCAGACTGAAAGCAAAGTGGCAAGAGCTGTGGTACATACTTCACCTAAGTACCTAATACTAAAATATAAATGTGCCATGAGCCAATTTATGTATGTATTTATCAGTTCCAAATGTATTTTCTATTTTCAAATCATTTTCTTTCTTGATTATTTTGCATAACAATCACATCAGATAAGTACAAATTCAGTGACAAAGAAAGAACCACATCTCCCACAAAAGATAAATCTGCATCTGCCATATGGTTAGATTGGCCTATCCTGCTTGCTTTCCAAAGACATGGCTGGGTCAATATGCCAGGGATCCAGCTATGACTTGGAGCCCACTAGCTGTCTATACTGATTCATCCATGACTTGCAGAATAATAGTATTGGAAGGGACTTTGGAGGTCTTCTAGTCCAACCTCCTATACTGTTTTTTTTCCTGTTTTCTATTTTAGTTTTAGTTTTGTTTTAGTTTTGATTTTTAATGGGATTTTTAATTTGATTTTAAAGGGGATTACTGAAACCAGGTTTTAAACTTATTTTAAATCCCTGTATTTGTTATTGGTTACGTTTTTTTGTTGTTTGTAATCTAGTTGTAAGGGCCAGGAAAAATGGAGCTACGATTAATCATAGCTGGAGTTGCCAAAATAATTATGATGTTAAACTCAGTTAGTGGATACCTAGATACAAATCCACCTTCAGCCATGGAAGCTCACAGGGTCGCTTTGCTGCAGGCATTCCATTGCAATCTAGCTTGTTTCACAAGGTTATTATGCTCTGTATACTGCTTTGAAAAGGCAGGCTATGGAAGGAAGGAAGGAAGGAAGGAAGGAAGGAAGGAAGGAAGGAAGGGAGGGAGGGAGGGAGGGAGGGAGGGAGGGAGGGAGGGAGGGAGGAATTCAATACTTCCCATTTGCACCAGCCCTCATTGAAAAGTACATGGAAATATGCCTTTGGATGTGAAAATATTTTTAATGGATATATATCTTATCTTCTTTATAAGCATATGTGCAAAGCAGTTTTCCTTGGAAAAATACCATTTTTGGTATGCCACTTCTTGGCAGGTCTCCAGGCTTCCCAACTATTGAGACGAGAGTTGAAATAGATTTCAGGAGGATACTGAGTTAGAGAAGAATGAGTGTAACTTCATAATCAGTCACTCTGTCACCTTTATTATGGAACACGGACCTTTCTAACGGAATGGGACAATTCCCTGTGGCCACCTCGCCATGGCTATCTCACCATGGGACAATTCACTGCAGGAAAATTTAACAAATACAAAAGTTAAATTAATTTCAACAGAACCGTGGCTGATAATAATAAAATAAAGTCAATCCGGAAATATACAGTAAGAGTTACCATAATTTCAACAAAAACGTGGTCAGCAATAATAAAAGTGACTGAATGAAATTAGTAATGCAACCCTGAATTGTCCCAAGGTGAGTTGTCCTGCAACAAGTTGGCCATGATGAGTTGTCCTAGACCCCCTTCATAAATAACAAGGAAAACCTATTCAAAACAAATCTGAAAATGTACTTCCATTCTTTTTCTATGGTACAGAATAGCACCTTTCAATTATAATTCAATTTTCTTCAAAAAATACTTGACATTAAAATGCAATACCTTGCATTTTACTTTTATAGTTTCTTAATTTCTTTCATGAAATTATGCCATTTATAGTACTGTTTCAATTTCTTTTCTTTCCTACCCCATATCCTTGCCTCTTCCCACTTAGTCTATGATTAGTTCGTGAGATAATTATTTAGCTGAACTCTACACAACTAAAACATATTGTAATACATGAACACTATACATAAAATTGCTTTTATGGATGCAAATAGGAGAATTATTCTTGAAATACTTTTTCCCTTTTCTTATTTTAGTATATGTCAGAACAGGATGTGGAAATGTACCATGGAGACATGCCTATCAACCTGTGCTATTTATGGAGATGGACATTATATCACCTTTGATGACAAGCGTTATATTTTCAATGGGCAATGTGAATATACACTCTTGCAGGTATCAAGTATTGCTTTCTTGTTTTCGCTGGAGAAACTGTCTGGATATAACACAGAAGGCAATTTTTTTTTCTAATTCTATCCCCTTCCTTCTTAGGATTATTGTGGCCAGAACAGTTCCACCCAGGGGTCATTCCGAATCATCAGTGAAAATATTCCTTGTGGCACCACTGGCACCACTTGTTCTAAATCTATTAAAGTGTTCTTCAAAGTGAGTAACATTGCTGCAGCATTGATGGTTCTACCATTAACTGCCTGGTCTCCCCCAAAAAATCTTCCAAAATAACTTTTTTAAAAAAATTAAAGAGGGAGGCATAGATTATTCCTTCATGCAACTACTTTGGTTGAGCACATGGAGTACTACATTTCGGATATTGATATGGTCATTCCCTCTGTTTCATGCCAAATTGTATTGGAAATTTAGGCAAATAAAGAGAGAAGTGTAAACTGCTTTAATTTTTGTGCAAAATTAAAAACAATATGTTAAATATCCTACTGAATATGTACAATACCTAGAGTTTTCTAAAAATCCCCTTTGCTTTCCAACAGTTTTAAAGACACTGAAGATATAGTTAGAAAATTAGATAGAGCAAATAGGAATTCATTTAAGGCACTAGATCAGACATGTCAAACACAAGGCCTGGGGGCCGAGTGCGGACCATGAAGTGGTTTCATGTGGCCCACGAAGCCATCCTGGAAACAGTGAGGGAATGGCCCCCGCTGCTTGGCCCTGGCCCAGGCTGACCGGGAGCCAATGTACAATTTTGTAGTGGCCATCTATGCTGAAATGCATTCAGTCTTAGCTCCACAAGGCTGTCTGGAAACAGTGAGGAACCAGCCCCTGCCCCGTCGGCCCTGCCCCCTGGGTGCATGGTGGGGAGATGTCACCCTTTGTGAGGAATGAAGAAATGCACCATCACCTGGAAGTGGCCAGCAAATGGCCCTCACCTACTTCACATATCCGGCTTGATAGGCTCTGCCCTGGTCCCACACCTTTCTGCCAGAGACCCTCAGATCTGTCCCACTCCTGCCCAGGCCCCCATAGGCACCCTTAATGAGAATGATGTAGAGCTGGCCATGCCTACCCAGTAAGCCACACCCACCCTGGCCACACCCACCAGCCCCCCCCCAAAGGCAACCACAATGCTGATGTGGCCCTCAATAAAATTGAGTTTGACACCCCTGCACTAGATTCATAGATAGAAGGAATCACCTTCAGGAACCAAAGGAAGAGCTGCTATAAGACAATGCTCAGATAAAAGAAACCTTTGTCCTGGATAGGACCATAACTTGAGAAAGTGACTCATACAAGACCCTCCTTGTTTTCATGAACTTGAAGGGTGGGGAAAAGTGGATTCAGACTTACACTATTTTGTTTCTGCAACCTTATAATAAAAATAGGTTTAACCTGCATGAGTTGGCTTTCCTAGTCTGGTCTAGCTCAAACAACTGACGCTACTATGCAGTATACACTATTGCTGTACCTATCCCCACAGAAACAATTTCTGAAAATCCCATGCTGTTCATCCCTATTCTATATATTGCTTGTATTAACTGGACAATGAGTCATGCAGATGATATTTATTTAAGGAAATATTCAGCTTTTGTCTACCATGTTGGCTAATAAAATTACTGTTGTACATATTTTTAATAAATAAATCAAACAGTGGTTTTGGAAAACTGTCATTGTTCCCTATTATTTGCTCAACTCTTCCAGAACTATGAACTGATACTTACCGAAGAGCAGTATAAAGTAGTAAAAAGAGAGAGTGGAGGTCACATACCATATAGAATTCACCAAATGGGCATCTACCTGATGATTGAGATTCAGAAAGGACTAATTGTCTTATGGGACAAGAGAACAACCGTATTTATCAAGCTCAGTGCAGAATTCAAGGTGAGGTCCTATTAGAAATGAACTTTAGAGTTGGTGGTATGTGAATTAAACAGAAAAATCAAGCATTAAGTCAGCTGCACATTCTCTAGAATTCAAGTAATTTGTATGCGTCTCTCTTCAGGGTGAGGTCTGTGGATTGTGTGGGAACTATGATGGAAATGGAGTTAATGACTTTACAACTCGGAGTCGATCTGTAGTAGGTGATGTATTGGAGTTTGGAAACAGTTGGAAGGTATCACCCACATGTCCCGATGCCAAATGTGTCAAGGATCCTTGCTCCAAGAATCCTTATAGGAAAGGTTGGTCACAGAAGAAGTGCAGCATCATCAACAGCGAAGTCTTTGCCGCCTGCCATTCTCAGGTACACCAAACCCTCAGGGCAGATTTTTTACAGGAAAAATCATTATTTCAGGTGACAATCATGCCTGCCTGCCTGTCTATCTGCCTGCCTGCCTACCTACCTACCTACCTACCTACCTACTTACTGGTTAGCCCGAATTACAATTTTTCATTTAATGATAATTCGAAGTTATGATGGCCTCAGAAAAAATTACTTACTTGTTCTGAAAGCTACAACTTGTTGCACCACCCCAGATGTCAAGTTATCACAATTTGGGCATTTGGCAAGTAGTTCACTTTTATGATGGTTGCAGCATTTTGCGGTCATCTTTCCAGCCAGCTTCCACGACGCAAAGTCAATTGGAGAAGCCAGATTCACTTAATGACCACATGATTCATTAATAGCCACATCATTTGCTTAAAACAACTGGAAAAATGATAATAAAATTGGGTTGGATCACATGATGACTCAGTTAATGACCACATCACTTAGCAAGCAAATTTTAGTCACATTTAGTCAATGTTTTCCACAAACGTTTGAAAGAATTGTCACTAGGAGATCAAAAGATGTAGCATCTGTTTTATTTCTTCCTAGGTGGAACCAACTAAATACTATGAAGCCTGTGTGACCGATGCCTGTGCTTGTGATACTGGGGGAGACTGTGAATGTTTCTGTACAGCTGTTGCTGCATATGCTAAAATATGTAGTGATCATGGAGTATGTGTATCATGGAGGACGCCATCAATTTGTCGTGAGTATCATATATGATTGCATGGACAATGACAATCCAAAGCTGGAAAGTGAAGTATCAACTTGAAGACTATATCATCCCTTGAGTGTATGACGATGTTCTCATACCATCTCATACCATCATACATCTAGATATTTGTGCTCTTATTAATATTTATTAAATCAACAACTGGCAAGCCTGATGCTGGCTCAGGAATTCTGGGAGTTGAAGTCCACAAATCGTAAAGGGGCCATCATTCCCCACCTCTGTGCTAGATAGACAATTATTTCAAGGGTTTGAATCAAGTTAGTGCACCATCTCATCTCATGCCTGAGTGCTTATCTTCCAATCATTAAAATGCAAACATTAAAATCTGATTATTTTTATAATGACATAATTAGTAGCATTTATTCAGGATTGATATATTTGATTCTTAATGGTTGTCATTTTGTTCCCTTAGCTATGTTTTGTGATTACTACAACAATGAAGGTGAATGTGAATGGCACTACAAACCTTGTGGAGCCCCATGCATGAAGACCTGTAGGAATCCAAGTGGGAGGTGTGCTTATCATTTACCTGGCTTGGAAGGTGAGAAGGTCTTTCTTATCATATGTATGCCAGCTAGTGCTATATAATATGCTATTTAATAGCTGGCTAATATCTTATATGAGCATAATGATTATTTATAGCATAGTAGGTCAAAGTTATCACTTTATGAAGAATGTCACCTTGTTTAATGTCTATTACATTTCTGTCTTTGGCTTCAAATAATTTGTAGTTTATCTTTCTGAGACCCTCCCAAGGCATGGAGCTAAAAATCAACCATCAGATTTAATGATTCATCTATTTTAATATCTGTGAGTTTGAACTGAATGGGTGTACAGAGCTGAATAGAGCGTTTGCCTTTTCTTTCTGCATCTTTTATTTCAATATCAATTTTCTTCTACCCCAAGTTGCAGATTGAGAGGATTGATAAAAAGGCAAGACACTGCTATTTCATCTATCTTTTTAATTCTCAATCCTGATCAGGAACATTGGGGAATATTGAAGAGGAGAATTTTGGAAGAGGAATTGGCAAAAAAAAAAAAAAAAAGCAAAAGGGGGCCTCCATATATCATTTGGAAGAATTTGATCATTAAACTAATCAAAGCTATAAAATACATATACCAGAGGAATCAATGAGGGAGAGGACAAATTCTAAATTGGAACTGTTGTGGAGAGCCAAACCAATAGGGCTATGAAGGTGCGTGCACACGCACACACGAACACGTAAATTGGAAAAAAAACAATAGCAATAGTCTTCAAAGTAAAAGCAATGCAGTTATATTGCATGCATGGCATACACTTATTTACATTTGATTTCTAATTTCCAATTGACCTCATGCAGGCCAGACGGAGACAGCTAAAAGGCCAGATGTGGACCAGGGACTATAAAATGCCCAGGTCTATATTAAGTAATATTATTCAGTTTACCTTTTACAACAGTCTGGAATATTAAAAGGCTAGTTTGTGGAATCTTGGTTTTAGAATTGATCCAAAGCAGCTTAAATGCTGCTGATTATAAATCATTAGGTTTGTCTGAATTCAATATCATCCAAGTAATTGTGGGGTGTTTTTTTTCCCCTTATCCTTTTCCTCCTCTTAGGCTGCTATCCACATTGCCCAGCAGATAAGCCTTATTTCAGCGAGGATGAGATGCAATGTGTTAGCATTTGTGGCTGTTATGATAATAAGGGTAACTATCATCAGTTAGGAAAAACCTTTACTACTGGAGAGATGTGTCAGTCATGGTGAGTAATAATACAATCCTTGGTACAATAGATATATTCAGAATACATGTTGCAGTGACTCCAAAATGACCCTGTTCATTTTCATACACTTACAATAATGTATTAATTCCTTGTATGATTGATTGACTATGTGCTATCAAAGCATTGTTGATCCTTAGTGACCACACAGATTTTTTTCAATGATAATCCATCCCTAACCTGGGCTTTCAAGTTTTCCAGTGCTGTACCCATTGCTATTGTAACTGAATCCATCCAACTTGCTGGTGGTTATTCTCTTTTTAGAGGAATCTAATTGGTAGAAACAAAAGTTTCGGTTTAATTTTAGACACACAATAAAGCAAGATATGTGTGTGTGTGTTATTATATATAATAATGTTATATATGTTATTATATATATATAAGAATTAGTGTTCTAATTCAACATTAGAGGGGCAAATAAGATCCCACTTATTTTATTCTACCATGTATAAGTTAGAATAAAGAAGCTCAGAAACAAGGAGCTTGAAACTTTCAACCTAAATCTAAATTACTAAAAGAATTATCCATGGAGTATCATCAAAATAGTCAAGATGGCAACCACAATGGAGCAGGTGAAGCTCTGCCCATTTTGTATATGCAACATACCTAAAACATACCTTAAAAAGACAAGATGGCAGCCACGGTAGTGTGTTGAAAGTTTCATCACATTACCATCCTACCACCTTGACCTTTTTGACCATGTCATGTAGACGCACGTGGCTAGTATAGTTGCAATGCACAGGTGTCACCTGCTTGTCCTGCTGAGAAACAAACATCCCTGAGTCCATGATGAAACATATTGAGGGGAAATGACACCTAGATGTTGCAGTTTGGGTCTATTGGATGGTGTGAGTCTTACCATTTGCAGTGGATGGTTTTCTTTATCTTAATGGTGTCTTTAGTAACTATAATAAAACTGTTTTCTCAAGGCCTGTGGCTTTGAATCTCTACCATCTTTTTGTTCCTTCCAGTAGTCTGGTCAAAGTCTGACACAGCATATTCTTTACTGACAAGAAAGGTTCATGAATTCTTTATAACCATATGTACAATTTTATTAGCCAAGATGATAGACAAAAGCTTGTTATTTCCTTAAATAAATATCAAGATATCATCTGCATGACTGATCATCCAGTTAATAAAAACAATATATAGAATAGGAATGAACAGCATGGGAGTTTACATAAATTGTATCTATGGGGATAGGTATAGCAATGGGAGTGTATAGTAGTGTCAGCTCTTCGACATAGACCACACTAGGAAATCAATTCACATAGATTAAATCTACATTTATTAGAAGGATACAAGAAACAAAATACTGTAAGTCTGAATCTGCTTTTTTCCTCCCTCCCTTCCTCTCTTCATATTCATGAAAACAAGGAGGGTCTTACATGAGTCACTTTCTCAAGTTACAGTCGTATCCAGAACTCAAGTTTCTTTTATCTGAGCATTATCTTTTAGCAGCTCTTCCTCCTGTTTCTTAAAGTAATTTCTTCTATATATTAATCTAGTGTGTACACACACACACACACATACACACACACAAACGTGTACACATACACATACCCATAGAGAGAGGGAGGGAGAGGAAGGAAGAAATCATACACACTCTATATATTAATATCTATTCTATACCATATGTATGCTTAATAATATTTCCTAAAGTAATTTACATACATTTCAATTCTTCCAAAAAGAAACTGTAGTGATTGATGCTTGTTCTTTAAGCTAATAGCTGCATAAAAGGTAAAGGTTTCCCTGATCATTCATGTCTGACTTTAGGGCATAGTGCTCATCTCTGTTTCTTGGCCAAGGGAGCCAGCATTGTCCATAGATATTTTCTGTGGTCATGTGGCCAGCATGGCTACGCCAAAGAATCACAGAAAGCTGTTACTTTCCCATTGAAGTGGTACCTATTAATCTACTTGCATTTGCATACTTTCAAACTGCTAAGGTGGGCAGGAGCTGGGAGAAGTAATGGGAACTCACCCCTTTGCATAGCACTCGGGTCTCAAACCTGGGCACTTTTTAGAGAACCCAAATGTTAAAGTTATTATTATACCCTTTCTTTTAATTGCTAGAAAACTATATTTCAGAATAACACTTTTTATGATATTCATTGTAAATCAGAGGTATTTAAACGAATGTTCCTATTTGAGACACATGCAAACAAAGCTATTCAGTGGAATTTTGTAGGAAATAAATTGGAACATGTCTTTAATGAATCCTATGTCATTGTTGTTTCTTACAGTAAATGTACCAGCGAAGGCATTATTAGCTGTGAATATGATACTAAAGGTAACTTGAAAAGATTTATTAATAGTATTACAAAATAGTTTGAAATGACTTTGTCTAGCCACGCATTCTTATTTTTTAAATGCAGCTTGCTACTGCTACTACGAAGGAAAGAGGTATAACTACAAGGAAGTCATTTACAACACCACGGATGGCTTAGGTTCGTGTATCACTGCAATTTGTGACATCAATGGAACAATCAATAGAGAAGTCTACAAATGTGCTGGAATTACCACAAAACCACCATTTCAATTCACAACATCAAGTGCAACAGGTATTTCACTCCATAGTCTGGATTTAACACTAGTTTTTCTGACATTGATCCCTTTCAATGTAGTAGTAGTAGTAGTAGTAGTAGTAGTAGTAGTAAAGTTGGAAGGGACCTTGGAGGTCATCTAGTCCAGTGGTTCTCAACCTTTTTAATGCCATGACCCCCAACCAGTGGTAAGTCGAGGACTACCCAACCGATCGTAAGTCAAGAACTACCCAACCGGTCGTAAGTCGAGGACTTTCCCTGCCCGAGAGCACCGCGCATGCATGGTGCCACCCCCTACGCCGACCGAGGCATAGCTGGCAAGTGGCAGAGACGGCGCAGGCCAACCACTGACTGGGCCACCAGCTGGCCCAGCCCAAGGGAGTTAAAGCACCCGCCGGGCCCCATGTGCGCCAGCAACCTTCCCTGCACCCGCCGGCCTCCCACCTTCCATCCCTGGCCCTCTTTTACTTACATTTTTAGTAGTTGCTCAGCAGGGAGGGGTGGAAACTTCCAGACAGCTCGCCTTCACTGCAGACAACTTGCAGCACCATTTACAGAATGGGACTTTTGGCGGGCTCAGCAGGGCAGAGACAGCCCGGACAATTCCTATTGGCTTTTGAAAGCCAATAGAATTAGACTCTATTCAAGAGAGTCTATTCTATTAGCTTTCAAAAGCCAATAGAATAAAAGGGAGTAGCACAGCTAAGGAAAAGGGGGAAAAATGGCAGACTGCGTTGTTTGGCGACCCCCGTGAAATGGTCATTCGACCCCAAATGGGGTCCGGACCCACAGGTTGAGAACCACTGATCTAGTCCAACCCCCTGCTCAGGCAGGAAACCCTATACCATTTTGGACAAATGGCTGTCCAGTCTCTTCTTAAAAACTTCCAATGTTGGAGCATTCACTGCTTCTGGTGGTAGGTTATTCCACTGGTTAATTGTTCTAACTGTCAGGAAGTTTCTCCTTAGTTCTAGGTTGCTTCTCTCTTTGATTAGTTTCCATCCGTTGTTTCTTGTCCTGCCTTCAGGCACTTTGGAAAATAGCTTGACTTCCTCTTCTTTGTGGCAGCCGTTAAGATATTGGAACACTGCTATCATGTCCCCCCTCGTCCTTCTTTTCTTTAAATCGTTACTTGCCCAATACTTCTAGAGGACATGAGAAACTGGCAAAGACTATAAATGAATTGAAATGGGAATCAGCCCCACTAGATCTACATGAATAACTTCAAAGAGAATACAACTATTAGTTATTTGCAAAACCCTAAAGGCCCCAAATAAACTACACTGCAAGTATCTTGAGAGTTGGAGGAACCTTCTTCCTCCAATGATGGGAATACTGAATTTTGCAGAAATTAATCAACATCTTTCTATATAATATGTTCCGACCTCTGAAAACAGAAAGTATCAGGCTGAATGTAAAAGAGAACAGAAATTTGCAGAGAAGACCAAAGCCTGTTGAGATTATACCCTTCCATGCAGAGGGAGGAAGAGATGAATAGTGCTTATATCCTGAATAACACAGGCCCCATTTGTGAAGTACAAGAAATCATGGTACTGATCTCATAGTCTGCAGCAGGTAGCATTCCTGCTATAGGTCATTTATTATGTACCTGCAAACAAACAACTATTGGTTAATGTCACAATGTGACATTATAGATAGGCTGGGTCAATTCTCACTAGAGACATATTAAATTTGATATTTTGAATGTATTGACTGAAAAAGATTTTCAAATCTTAACAAAATTGATATATTAATTTCTTTCCATTTATTTATAAGGAAATATTTTTTTAAAAAAAAAAAAGATGTAAAAAATAGCATCAGCTATTTTTTTAAAAAGGAGAAAAGCTAATGATGGAACAATCCAACAATTGTATACACAGTTCATTCAGTCTGCTATCTGAATCAGGACAGGAAAGAATAAATTGACAAGAGGAATTTGCATAACAAATTTGCCATTAGTCAATTGCAAAAGGCGGTCTTACTAGGAACTGCTTCCATCCTGCGACGATATCTGTAATACCATCAAAGATCCACATCTGCCTATCCTAGGTCCTTGGTAAGGACTTTATAGGTAGACAGAAATGCCAAATCCAGTCTGAACATCTGGCTGACTGTGCGATGATCAATAATAATAATAATAATAGTAATAGTAATAATAATAGTAATAAAAGTAATAAAAGTAATAATAATAATAGTAATAGTAATAATAGTAATAAAAGTAATAATAATAATAATAATAAAAGTTAAAAGTACAATACATATTTCCCAAAACAAAGGAAAATATGACTATGAGAACTACAGTATAAGAGTTGCTTGGCTTTGTTACATGACTCTATATCTAAAATAAAAAAGATATACAGGTAGTCCTAAACATACGACTTATGTATGCTGCTAAGTGAGAAATTTGTTAAGTGAGTTTTGCCTCATCTTAGAATTTTTATCGCCACATTTGTTAAGTGAATCACTGCAGTTCTTAAATGAGTAAACATGATTGTTAAGTGATTCTGGTTTCCTCACTGATTTTGCTTGTCAAAAGTTTGCAAAAGGGGATCACATGATTCTGGGACACTGCCACCGTCATAAATGTGAGTCAGTTGTCAAGCATTCAAATGTAAATCATGTGACCATGGGGATGCTGCAGCAAACATAAGTGTGAAAAATGGTCATAAGTCTCTTTTTTCAGTACCATCATACTGAAAACAGTCACCAAATGAACTGTTGTAAGTTAAGGACTACCTGTACATAAACATATTTTTTTATTTTCTTTCCTTAAAGTTACAAGCATCACAAAGAGTACTGCTTTTTTTAAAAAAAAGTATCTACATTTAGATAATAAATTGTACAATAGGCAAAAGAAGTCTGCTCCTTAAAAGCATGGGTTTTCGATAAACATTGAAACAATTATGTTTTATGTTACAGAATCAATTCCAACAAGAACAACAATGTGTGTGCACAAAGTTTGTAGATGGATGGGTTGGTATGATCTTAGCTATCCATCATATGAAATTACCAATGGAGAGTATGAAACACCAGAAATCATAAGAGCCAAAGGACATAATCTTTGCAAACTTCCAGATAAAGTGGAATGCAGAGCAAAAGAACTTCCCAATGAAACATTGCATTCTCTCAATCAAAATGTAACATGCACACCAACTGATGGTTTGATCTGCAATAACAAGGATCAGACTCCACCAATGTGCTACAATTTTGAGGTCAGATTCTCCTGCTGCAATTTTGAACCATGTGGTCCATTGACATCAACATCTGCTACTAAGACTACTGCAGAAACAACACCAGTTACTGAAACAAAAACATCACCCCCTTACATACCTCAATCTAGCACTCCACTTGTCATTGGGACTACTTCCCAGCCTTCTACACTAAGTTTAATTCAGCCCACATCCACATCTTGCCATCCTAAATGCCAATGGACCCAATGGTTTGATGACCACAATCCAAACACTAGCCCTGATGGTGATTTTGAGCGCTTTGAAGACATACGAGCACGTGGACTGGTTTGTGAGCATCCCAAAGACATTAAATGCCAAGCAAAGGACTATGTGCACACTAGGAATCCTGCCCCTGCGCAGAATTTCCAGTGCAACCTAGAGGTTGGACTAGTGTGTGAACATGAAAAACAAAAACAGAAACCATATAAATGTGTCAACTACCAGGTACAATTCCTGTGTTGTGATTATAGCCATTGCCAAACAGTCACAACAGCAGTAACAACAGGAAAGCAAACAACCACAACCCTTCCTACTCCACCATCAACACGACCAGTCACCTCTGGCATTATCTCCACTGCATTGACTACCAGTCCAAGCACACCCCTAGTATCCACAAGTACAGCAGTAACAACAGGAAAGCAAACAACCACTACCACTTCTACTCCACTGTCAAAACTTGTCTCCACCAGTGCTGAAGTAACAACAGGAAAACAAACAACCACAGCTCTTCCTACTCCACCATCAACACGACTAGTCACCTCTGGAATTATCTCCACTGTTCCGATCATCACCCAAAGGACCACCTCGTTGTCCACAAATGCAGAAGTAACAACAAGAAAGCAGATAACCACAACTCTTTCTACTCCATTGTCAACTCTTGTGTCCACAACATCAATGCCTATTACTACTACCACTGCAGAGACAATGCCATCTACCGAAACAAAAACATCACCCTCTCAATCTAGCACTCCACTTGTTATTGTGACCACTCATCCTACTTCCCAGCCTTCTACACCAAGTTCAATTCAATCCACATCCAAATCTTGCCAACCTAAATGCCAATGGACCCAATGGTTTGATGACCACAATCCAAACACTAGCCCTGATGGTGATTTTGAGCGCTTTGAAGACATACGAGCACGTGGACTGGTTTGTGAGCATCCCAAAGACATTAAATGCCAAGCAAAGGACTATGCACACACTAAGAATCCTGCCCCGATGCAGAATTTCCAATGCAATCTAGAGGTTGGACTAGTGTGTGAACATAAAAAACAAAAACAGAAACCATATAAATGTGTCAACTACCAGGTGCAATTCCTTTGTTGTGATTATAGCCATTGCCAAACAGTCACAACAGCAGTAACTGCCAAACCTACATCAGCCAAAATTCTATACTCTTCCACAACATCCAGTGCATCCACGCTACCACATACAATATTAACCACCAGTCCAAGCACACCCCCGGTAAGCACAAGTACAGCAGTAACAACAGGAAAGCCAACAACCACAACCCTTCCTACTCCACCATCAACAAGACTAGTCACCTCTGGAATTATCTCCACTGCATCGATCACCAGTCCAAGTACACCCCTAGTATCCACAAGTACAGCAGTAACAACAGGAAAGCAAACAACCACTACCATTTCTACTCCACTGTCAACACTTGTCTCCACCAGTGCAGAAGTAACAACAGGAAAACAAACAACCACAACTCTTCCTACTCCACAATCAACACGACTAGTCACCTCTGGAATTATTTCCACTGCATCAACCACCAGTCCAAGCACACCCCTAGTAACCACAAGTACAGCAGTAACAACAGGAAAGGAAACAACCACTACCCTTCCTACTCCACCATCAACACGACCAATCACCTCTGGAATTATCTCCACTGCATTGACCACCAGTCCAAGCACACCCCTAGTATCCACAAGTACAGCAGTAATAACAGGAAAGCAAACAACCACAGCCCTTCCTACTCCATCATCAACACGACCAGTCACCTCTGGAATTATCTCCACTGCTCCAATCGTCACCCAAAGTACCACCTCGTTGTCCACAAATGCAGAAGTAACAACAAGAAAGCAGATAACCACAACTCTTTCTACTCCATTGTCAACTCTTGTGTCCACAACATCAATGCCTATTACTACTACCACTGCAGAGACAATGCCATCTACCGAAACAAAAACATCACCCCCTCAATCTAACACTCCACTTGTTATTGTGATGACTCGTCCTACTTCCCAGCCTTCTACACAAAGTTCAGTTCAATCCACATTCAAATCTTGCCAACCTAAATGCCAATGGACCCAATGGTTTGATGACCACAATCCAAACACTAGCCCTGATGGTGATTTTGAGCGCTTTGAAGACATACGAGCACGTGGACTGGTTTGTGAGCATCCCAAAGACATTAAATGCCAGGCAAAGGACTATGCACACACTAGGAATCCTGCCCCGGCACAGAATTTCCAGTGCAATCTAGAGGTTGGACTAGTGTGTGAACATGAAAAACAGAAACAGAAACCATATAAATGTGTCAACTACCAGGTGCAATTCCTGTGTTGTGATTATAGCCATTGCCAAACAGTCACAACAGCAGTAACTGCCAAACCTACATCAGCCAAAATTCTATACTCTTCCACAACATCCAGTGCATCCATGCTACCACATACAATATTAACCACCAGTCCAAGCACACCCCCGGTAAGTACAAGTACAGCAGTAACAACAGGAAAGCAAACAACCACAACCCTTCCTGCTCCACCATCAACACGACCAGTCACCTCTGGAATTATCTCCACTGCATCGACCACCAGTCCAAGTACACCCCTAGTATCCACAAGTACAGCAGTAACAACAGGAAAGCAAAAAACCACTACCCTTCCTGCTCCACCATCAACACGAACAGTCACCTCTGGAATTATCTCCACTGCATCGACCACCAGTCCAAGTACACCCCTAGTATCCACAAGTACAGCAGTAACAACAGGAAAGCAAACAACCACAACCCTTCCTATTCCACCATCAACACGACCAGTCACCTCTGGAATTATCTCCACTGCATCGACCACCAGTCCAAGTACACCCCTAGTATCCACAAGTACAGCAGTAACAACAGGAAAGCAAACAACCACAACCCTTCCTATTCCACCATCAACACGACCAGTCACCTCTGGAATTATCTCCACTGTATCGACCACCAGTCCAAGCACACCCCTAGTATCCACAAGTACAGCAGTAACAACAGGAAAGCAAACAACCACTATCATTTCTACTCCACTGTCAACACTTGTCTCCACCAGTGCAGAAGTAACAACAGGAAAGCAAACAACCACAACCCTTCCTGCTCCACCATCAACACGACCAATCACCTCTGGCATTATCTCCACTGCATCGACCACCAGTCCAAGCACACCCCTAGTACCCACAAGTACAGCAGTAACAACAGGAAAACAAACAACTACTACTTTTTCTACTCCATTGTCAACACTTGTCTCGACCACTGCCAGAATAACAACAGGAAAGCAAAGAACCACAGCCCTTCCCACTCCACCATCAACACGACTAGTCACATCTGGAATTATCTCCACTGCATCGACCACCAGTCCAAGCACACCTGTAGTATCCATAAGTACAACAGTAACAAAAGGAAAGCAAACAACTATAACCCTTCCTGCTCCACCATCAACACGACCAATCACCTCTGGAATTATGTCCACTCTATCGACCACCAGTCCAAGCATACACCTAGTATCCACAAGTACAGCAATAACAACAGGAAAGCAAACAACAACTATCCTTTCTCCTCCACTGTCAACACTTGTCTCCACCAGTGCAGGCCTATCAACTGGTAAGCAAACAACTGCAACTCTTTTTATTGCACTGTCAACAGTCACCAAAAAAAGCAGTATATCATGTAATCTCTATTATTATCTTACATGTCCTCAACAAGATATTTCAATACACATTTATCAAAATGTTTACCTGTGGTAGCAAGTTATCTATTTTAATTGGAAATTTCTTTCTCCCTCATGTTTTAAGGAAACAACTTCATCATTCTAGTTTGTTTAATTCATACTACAATATGTGCCCTGCACCTGGATGTTTCCTGACAGTATTTTAGTAAACATGGTTCTCAGGTAGTCTGTGGTGAATCATTCTCCTAAGCATAATGCTGTGGTCCTGAATGTAATTGCAGAATTTTTGAGTTAACTGTGATTTTTGTAGGGGTAGGGAGTTTTTTCTTGCCATAATTTATGAAGAACAGTATTAAAGTTTGGTAGTACAATTTCAGTTAGTATCAATCTCATATCATTTGGTTATTTCTATGTTATATTTTGTGTCTTTCTCAGTATCAGGCTCCACACTAGCAACTACCTTAAGCAGAGTAACTCCATGTTTCTGCCATGTATCTGGAACTCCTGATTCTTTATTTTCTCCTGGTGAGTTTCATTCAAAAATTGCTTTGACTGTACATGTAATTGGAGCTCATCTTTCCACATAAGTACTCTATAGTTTCTGACTATTTAATCTGGGGATGCTAGTGAAAATGTTTTCATGTATTCAGGCATTTAACTTTTTTTTTTCATGATGAATCTGAAAGCATCAGTTCCTAGTCTGAATGTTTTATTTAAGGATATTGGTCCTTAGAGACTTACCATATTCCAGCTATTATTTTTATGGGGAGAGCAACATATACTATGCTACTCTGCTCCCAAACACTTGAATCATGAGTCCAGTGCCTTTCCGGGGTCCTCAGGCTTGAGATGGACAAGAGTTAAAATTCTGTTTTCAGATATTTTTCTTATTCTACCAGTTTGTATAATTTTTCTGAACATTTTTGTTAATCTGTGCATTTTGATGTGTATTTTTCCTATAGACTGCATTGTTTTTATCCTGATGAGGAACCTACCTTTTTTCTTAATAGTTAATATTATTAATAATATTAATTATTAATATTTTTGCTTAATATTTTAAAACTATAGATTTTGGCTATTATATAGTCTCTTATTTTCCTTTAGTTTCAGGAAATTTTGCAATGGGATGGAATAAATTATTATTGGGAATAGACAATGAAAATAAATGGTTATTGATCCTCATGCCAGTCTCTCTCTCTCTCTTTCTCTCTCTCTCCCTCTCTTTTCCTGGGAATTGACACTTGCTCATTATAAATCGCAAAGGCCGTAATATCATCCACAGTTTTTTTCGGTGTAACATACTCTAAAATCAATGAGCTTATGTTCAAAGAACATATCCTGAATCACATTTAATGATAACTTCTTTGATGCTTATACAGTATACCAGATTTACTTCTGCATAAACTTGATTAGAATGGCATGTTGCAATCAAAAATATAATGTTTGACTTACACATGCATTTAACATTTAATTATGTGTTCTGATTTATAGCATTTGTGCATACTGCTTTTTAATTTATTGATTCTTTTAAACAGGGGAAGTAATATATAATACAACTGATCATTCTGGATGCCGTTTTATTGCAATCTGTGATGCAAATTGTGAAATTAAGAGGAATCCGGTATTGTGCCCTACAACAACTCCCCGCCCATCAGTTACAACCTCAGGAAGATTACCTATTCCCACTTCCACAACTTTTACTCCAGCAACTGAACTACACACTTCCCCAACTCCAAGAACTGAGGAAAAAATTTTCTCAACTCCTGTACCAGATTGCCCTGATGCGGATCCACCTAGAAAGGTAATGTGGGGTTTTTTTTAATGCACTCCTGATACAATTTTCCATTAATTGGGATTAAGCATTATATTTACATGACTTGCATAGGCAATTTAACCTAATAGAGCACAACTCTCTAAAAGTTTGCCTTCAGTAAAACAAACACTGGAGGTTTAAATCTGGGGTGATAGTTGCCAATCACCTTCCTTGTAGTTCCCAAAGCCCTCTCTGACCATGTCTACTGTTTGCCTGGAAGACAAAATGTAAATTGTCATATAAGCTCTATAAATAATTTGAACAAAAGAAAGGACCTCCTGCAAGTCTCTTTGAAAAGTAAAACAACAAATGTTGGCCATAGGATGTGAAGGCCCATGTTCAAATTCCCAGTTGTAATTTTTTGTTTGTTTGTTATTGTGAGTGTGGATCCATAAAATGAAATCTTGTGTTCTCAAGATTCCTGTTGGTCTCGCTTTCTGAAAGGGTGATCTGCTTTAGAACCAGTATTCCCATTCATCTGTTTTAGTATTTGCAGTAAGCAGCATTCCATTCACTGACAGACATTGACAGAGATGTCAGCATTCCAAAGAGTGCACTGCCAACAACTATATCATCGAGAAAGAGAAAGAAGGATGAGGTTATTGGCACAGCACTCAATGCTCTTCTCTATGTGCTACATCCTTGGGTGGATACAACTAGCAACAGTGGCTCTTCCTTTACACTCAAGCCTTTATTTTAGCCCCGTCTTCATTAGCATAGCTCTCAAGGGTCTTTCACAGTCCTTGAAGCAGAAGATTGAATAGAGATCTGTATATGCAGAGCATGTCTTCTTTCACTCTACTCATAGTGTCTTCCTGGACACCTTCGTGTAATTTTTCTGGCAACAATATGGAAATAATTTGCCATTGCATTTTTGTAGTGATTTCTTTTTATTCTTTTTCCAGTCTAGTTTAAAGACCTAGGATTTCTTAGTAGTTACTCATACAGGTACTAAGCAAACCTATACCTGATTACCTTATGAGGCCAAACAAAATCAATAACTGCTCCTGGGTGGCACTCTTTGTTTCCCAAATGGTATTATTGCTCCACATTGGAAAGATCCCCATTTGTCCCCAAACTGGATTACTCCACATTGATTCCTAGCTGACTGTAACTTTTTCTTTCATTGTTTTTAATGAGGTCAATAATTTTAGAATAATTTTCTCTTGTTTGCCCCCCAGTTTAACGAAACATGGATGTTTAATAATTGCACTAAAGCAACATGTGAAGGGAGCAACCGAATTGTTGTGGTGCCACTCCGTCAAGCTGAGAAGATAGTCTGTGCAAGTGGACTCGAACCAAAGAAAATAGTGGATAAAGATGGTTGCATAGAACGCTATGAGTGTGAATGTAAGCAAAATAGATTACAGTATAATATTCATATTTACAAAGGAGTAAGCTCTGTTAGGTTTAACTCCACCTCCTTTATGGAATTATTTGTAGCATTCCAGCTTTGATTTCTGAAGAAAAAATATGTATATTTTAATTTTATGTAATATGCAATTATCTCATATATACATGCATTTATATATCACCTCCTATAACATTATCCAAGTTATGACATTCACTCTTTTTAATGGTTACAAGACAGCTCTATAGTCCTTCAAATATCATGGTTACTAATTCTTTCAGTGGTGAATTAAGTATCCTCTGTTAAGATTTTTAAAGATTGCACATCTAAATGTGCACCTTTTTAATTTTTTTAAAAAATATGTTTTCTTATAGGTATCTGTAAGGGCTGGGACCATTACAACTTTATGACTTTTGACGGCACTTCTTATACTTTCCATGGCAATTGCACTTATATCTTGGTGAAAGAGATTGTGAATAAATATGGAAACCTCCGTATTTTGCTTGACAATGCCTTCTGTGATATAGCTGTTAATCAATCCTGTTCCAGATCCCTAATTATATATTACAACTCTATGGAAGTCCGACTAACTAGTGAAATGCATGAAGGAGTGAGAGTTAACAAGGTAATGTGTCATAGGTTTTAAAAATAATAGTGTTTCAACCAAATAGAGAAAGCTATAGTTATGGTAGGACAATACTGCAAAATACTTCTTGAATCATATAGTTATCATGAGAAAAATATTTGGTTTTTTTTTTTAATGTTGTACTATTTTTAGGACAGACCAACTACTCTAACTTTATTCTTGAACTAATGTTTATTTATGGTGTGATGTTTCCCCTTATAGATAAATGTCATAAAGTTCAGATAAATATCTTCCTAGAAACAATGCCATTAGGCCAGACCTTGGGAGAATAGAAGCTTCCACATGGCTCACAGAGCCATGTAGTGATGGAGGGGTGGAAACAGAAAGTGTTGTAATAGCTAAGTCCAGGCTACAACTACCGTATATGTAGGCATATAAGACGACTTCCGCAAGCGCTAAACTCGGTGCCAAAGACGGGGGTCGTCTTATACGCCGAGTCGTCTTATACGCCGGAAATACTGGTAGTTTCCGACGTATAAGACAACATTAAAGGAATGCGGCTCGGTGACAAAGACGGGGGTCGTCATACGCCGGGTGGCCTAATATGCCGGCATATACGGTAAGCACCTTTTTAAATTGAAACCATTTCCCATGTAAAAGAAAATCTACCAAATCACAACACTGCCCTTTGGAAAATATGTTTGATAGGGATAGAAGAGCATTCATACATCCAGCCCTTCACATTCTAGTTACCCATTGATTATATGGCCTCAGAAGCTGCAAGCCTGAACAGTTCAGCTAGCTGCATTTATATTCGGGGAATTTTTTGTTATTGCCAATTATGTATTGTTGCAGCTTCAAGCAGCTGGACATCATTGTACCATACAGGTGGAGAAACACACATATGGGAAACATGTATATATACACATACATATACATGTGTGTGTATAGATACACACAGTGCTTTTTTTGTCATAGAAGGCACCGGAACGGAGTTCTGGCACTTTTTTTTGACGGATTTTTCAAGTTTTAAAAGTAACTTTTGAAAATTTGATATTTGGTCCATGTTGCCCTGTCGAGCATAGCAGGTCGGTGGCAAAATCATTAAAATGGTGCATGCAGGCTGCTTGTGTGTCGAGTCTGATACATGCGTACATCATCCGCACTGGTTGTGATGGTGCTGCTCGGCTTGTTGCACTGCTCGGCTTGTGATTGGTCGTGTGGTCACGCGCTGAGTGCTTACTGCAGGCGGTGGCCGTTATGTTTCATTACACAACTGACATGTGTGGGTGTGTGTACAATGATTGACTATGTGCGAAAGGTAAATAATTTCTTTATTTTAAAAAATCGTTGGTGGATTGAAAATCTTTTTTTAATTTTTAGTGTAAAAGTGTGACCCCAAATTTAAAAATGAAAAAAAAATACTAATTACTTCTCAACCACCAATCCTAAGAACTGAATATATATATATTTTAAATAAAAGATTAACAAGATGTGAGTTCTGGCACCTTTTTTCTTACAAAGAAGCACTGGACACACAAATACAGCTATAGCTTATTGTTGTGGTGGTGGTTGTTAATCTTCAATTCAATTCACAGTCTGGGACTGATAAAAACGTAATAATTCAAGTCCTAACCAAGGACCTAAGAGCTGTTAAGGTAACATCTGAGTATATACACAGTTCCGAGTAAAGTGGTTTTTTGCAGTTGGAATATTATTATTGCTATTATCTGAACGTTAGCTTGAACAGTACTTTGGGGAAAAGGCAGGTTACAACAAACAAATTATTTTTTAAAAAAAAATTCTAAAAAGGCAGCAGAACATAAGTATTATAGAAGTGACTGAACTAAAATGCATTAAAATGGCGTAAGGTAAATTGTTCAGCTTTACATTACAGTTTGCTCTTCAATGTTCTTTATCCTGCTGTTTCTAGATTTTTTTCGGCAATGACTCTGTCCCGGAGGGCTTTGTCAAAGATGGCATTGTGGCTACTAGTAATGGTGTTACTATGACAATTGAAATGCCTGCCATCAGTGGTTTTGTTTCCTTCAATGGTTTCACCTTCTTTATTATGCTTTCACATGAACTCTTTCAACACAACACAGAGGGACAGTGTGGTAAGTAATAAGATTAAACAAAAGATTTCAGCACTTTCTCTCCAAAGTGATACCTTCAAAAGAAATGAATTCATATGTGAGCATGCCCATTATTGTAAAAAATCAATAACAAAATAAAGTTTAGCAGTAAGATAAAGGGTCAGAATATTTGTCTTTCAAACTCCTTGTACAGTATTTCCATTTATAAAAGAATTCAAAGTTGCTGCTACCTAGATCTAGCTAGCTTGATTCAGTTTCAGAAATAAAGATGTCTTCAAGATGAACTTGGCTTTTCATTCATGCAGACTGGTTAAACAGTATTATGCAAATGGTTTCTCACAAGTTTTTCCTGGGTATTTCTCACTTTTCCAGTAACAAATAGGGTTGGAATCCCCAGGTGTTCTGCCATCCAGTGTCTAATCAAATCTGATCCAGTTTAGGTGTCGGACAAGCCATGTAGGCTCAATGCTGACACTTTCTAAGTGACTTGATGTAAAACAGATTCACACACAAACACACAGACACAAATACTCAGAGCCATCATTCACATTGGATACATGTGTGTGTGTTATATCATTGTTTCTTATTATTGAAACAGGAAATCCATTCCACCATCCAAATGTTATCCCAAGTGGGCATGCTGAATGTTCATAGAACTTGCATTTTTAGCCTGCTTATGATTTGCCTCTTTTTATTCCTAGGGAGTTGTTCAAATGACCAGTCAGATGATTGTCGCAAGCCCAATGGACAGAAAGCTGACTCCTGCTCAGAAATGGCTATCTACTGGCAAGTGCCTGATATCAATAAGCCCGACTGTCAGGTGGAGCCAACAATACCTCCTATAGTGAGCACAATTGTGCCAACTACACCAGTGGAGACTACACCAACACCAACACCCTGCAGCTTTCCATCACCTTTGTGCCAGCTGATTATAAGCGAGTAAGTGAAACTCAGCTTTTGCAAACATGGCCTCTTTTGTCTCCGGCATAACAAATAATATGAGACCTTCCCAGAAAACATCTGAGTCCCATCAGATATAAAGTTACTTGGAATAGCAGTGGCAGGACCTGAAAATGCATCATCAGAAAGATTGTGAGGTGCACACACAAGCACACATCTATACTCATTTATATGCAGACACATTTACTAGCATGTGCAACAGAATCGCTTGAGAGTCAGGTTCCCTGCTTCACTATAATTCTGTCACAATGAAGACTAACCCCAACCCTAACCCCCCCTGCAGTGGGGCTATATTGCTATTATCCTTCTCTTTTTCTCATCTTTCTCATCTTTCCTACTGCCTTCCTTTGCAGTGATGGCGAACCTTTTAGATGAGTGCCCAAAAACTGTCCTGCCCCTCACTCCCACCCCTGCTGTACCACCATCCCATCCACCTCCACTACCCCTGCTTCACCCCACCCACCCACAGGGCCACCTACTGCCTCCAAGCCCCACCACAACAGATCACCCAGGCAGCCCTGCAGCACCATGGCAGCCATGCCCAAGGACATGGCAGCCAGTATCATTGTCCTTGCTCCCTGGCTGCCATGTCCTTGGCTGCGCTGCTCCGCATGGGATGTGCCCGGGGGCTACTTTCCTCTGGGGGGGGCTGCTGGTGAGCAGATGGCTGCGGGGGGGAGGCAGGACTGGGGTGATGGCATGCGTGCCCACAGAGAAGGCTCTGTGTGCCAGCTCTGGATGCTTGCTATAGGTTTGCCACCACTGTCCTATTGGTATCTTATGATTTATCACTTGCTGTTTGTATCTTGTGATTTATGATTGTATCTATCACTTACCACTTTGTTGTTTGTATGTACACTGAGAGCTTATGGACCAGAGACAAATTCTTTGTGTGGCTAATCACACTTGGCCAGTAAAGAATATTCCAACCTGTGTCAGTGCATTAAATAAATGTCTACAAACTACTCCTATTCCCCAGTTCTGTTCACTCACCAAGCTTCTCTCTTCTCTTTCCCTTGCTTCTCAGCAGCCTATCGCTTACCAGGCACAATGTTAGGAAAGGGAGCTCACCAGCAGACTAGCAGCTCTTGGCAAACTGGTCATTATCTGATTGAGCTAGGAAGCAGCAGTTGTAACAGCAATCCAAATGGGAGGGTCTGCAACTGGTCTGCAGACCAGTCTTGGACCATAAATGGTCTCCCCAACTATATATATACCTTGTATGGTGATGTTATGATATTTCACAGAATTAGGTATTGCCCTGTATTATTTACCAGGTACTCAAATGATCTTCAGATTTCTTATATATCATACAGAATAGTAGTCTAGGAATGTGACCTAGCAGTGCAGAGAATTTCTACAAGCTTCGGTATCATGTCTTTGCCACAAGGCTTATTCTTTCAGTTGTACTTTCACCATGAAGAAAAAAAAAGCTTGTTTAATTGATATAATTTTAATTTCATCACCTGGTTTTAAAGTATTTTTGCAGAGTGCCATAAAGTTCTGTCTCCAAGACAATTCTATGACGACTGCCTCACTGAAACATGTCAGGCTTCCAACGATTCCTCGAGTTGCATCTACATTGACATGTATGCCTCTCTTTGTACTGCGAATGGGGCTTGTGCCGACTGGAGGAGCAAGACCCATGGGAAATGTCGTAAGTAGAGGATGAAGCATCTGTGTTTGTGTCAAAAGACCACTAGACAGCCATGCAAACTGAACAGCAACATGACATGGGCAAACATTATTTGCATCTTGTATCTCAATTCTTTTTCAGACTTTATTATTGTTTTTGAAGATTGAAAGGCAGAATGCAAGGTAGCAGAAAATATGTAAAGTACTGGGAAGAAGAGGGGGGATTCCAATCCTTGGAAGTTGCACTTAGAACATAAACTTTAGCTAATTCTTCACTGTATTCCAGTCTTTAGAAATATTTGCTGTTTCATATCAGTGTTTCTAGAATATGATTTTTTAAATTGTATTTATATCCCATATTATTTTTACAAATAATTCATGTTTGTGAACATATCCAACACACCCTCCTCCTCCTATTTTCCCCACAACAACAATTCTGTGAGGTGAGATGGGCTGAGAGAGAGTGACTGGACCAAGATCACTCAATTGGCTTTCACAGTTAAGGCAGGACTAGAACTCACAGTCTCCCACTTTTTGTATTGCTGATTTAACCACTAGATCAGACATGTCAAACACAAGGCCCATGGGCTGGATCTGGCCCGATATGTGGTTCTGTGCATCCCGGGGACCTGCTCTGGAAAGAGCAAATGACTGGCCCGCCGCACCTCGGACCAGCCCAGGCCGACCGGGCCCTGATCTACAACCTGGTTGCATCCATCAAAGCCAGAACACGCTCAGCCTTAATTCCACGGGGAAGTCCCATCCTGATCTTTAGGTGTGCACACAAGTGGAGTCTAGCATCCCAGCTGGTTGTCCTGTCCTGCAGGCTGACTTCACCCAGGATGCCGGCGCTGGACGTCTCCTGTGTGCACACCTGGAGGGCAGGACAGAGGCGGTGAGGCAGCTCCTTGCTGGTCGAGTTGATCTTAGGCTGAGCATGTTCTGGCTTTGATGGACACAACCAGGTTGTAGATCAGCATGACCCCCCCCCCACCAGCACTTCCAGCTTCGCAGCCACAAGGCATCCCTTTCAATGGGACTGCCCTCTCAGGCCAACATGATATAGTAATGGATGGCAGCAGCATGTTAGTGCTGGCAATCTCTCCCCCTCCCATCACCCCTTCCTGAGCGTGGGGGAAGGAAAGAGATGAGAAGCTGAAGGAAGAAATGGAGGGAGGAAGGAAGGAATGGAGGGAGAAAGGAAAGAAGGAATGGAGCAACAGAGGATGGGAGAAATGGAGGGAGAAACAGAAGGAAAAAGGCAGAGGAAGGAAGGAATAGAGGAAGGAAGGAACAGGGAGGAAGGAATGGAGGTTGGGAGGGAGGAAGGGAGGAAGGAAGGGAAGAAGGAAGGAACAGAGGGAGGAAGGAATGGAGGGTGGGAGGGAAAAAGGGAGGAAGGAACGGAGGAAGGAAGGAACGGAGGAATGAACAGAGGGTGTGAGGGAGGGAGGAAGGAACAATAGAAGGGAGGGTGGGAAGGAGGCAGAGAGGGAGGGAGGGAGGGAAAAGGGAGGAAGGAACAGGAAGGAAGGAATGGAGGGTGGGAGGGAGGAAGGAAGGAACAAAGGAAGAAAGGAAGGGAGGAAGGAAGGAAAGAAGAGGAAGGAAGAAAGGGAGGGTGGGAGGGAGGAAAAAAGGAAGGAACAGAGGAAAGAAGGAAGGGAGGGTGGGAGGGACCATGTCCCAGCACTCGCCCCAGTCCCACCCTCCTCCTCTGGAGACCTTCAGATTTTCCCCAGTTCTGCCCAGGCACCCCTGAAGTGAGTGATGTCGAGATGACCATGCCCACCCAGTAGACCACGTCCACCCCAGCTACACCCACCCAGTAGGCTGTGCCCATCCCGGCCACACCCACCTGGCTCCCCAAGGACAACCACAATGCTGATGTGGCCCACAATGAAATTAAGTTTTTGGTAGGGTGGAGATCCTAAAAACTGCAAAGGTTCTGAAAATATCCTAAGTATAACTCTTTCAAGGTCTATTTTAAACAGCTCAGAAACAAATCCAAAAATGTTGTTTCTGTTACAATGTTATTTTTTTATTTTGCAATTAAAAATAATTAACAATTGCAAGTTCATTAGGACATAAATGTTTTCCAAAAGGAAGAAGTTGCCCTTTGCCCCATGAACTTATAAATACTTAAGGTTCAGTCCTCAAAATTTAATAGAAAGCACTCTTGGTGGAATAATGTGGAGATTTATTTTCTTCAAGGGAAAAATAGAGGAAGAAAGATAAATAACAAGAAAGAAAAGTTAAAAGGTCTCTTTCCTCTCCTTGATTCTCCAAACAGTTTGAAGTAACTTGTAGCTGTTTTATTGGTTTTGTTGTCCTACAAAATCTCTGGAGAAAGAGGTTGTGTATTTATAGTGCCATATAGTTTTTTTTCCTCTATTGGAATATAAACCTTTGTCTGTTCATAATATGTTTTATTCTCTCATTTACAGCCTATTATTGCGCAAAAGACAAAGTGTATGCTCCTTGTGCTCCTATTCATCCAGAAACCTGTGAAAATGGGTAAGAAGAAAAAGGGGGGGATTAAATTACACTACTAATTCTTTTAACAGGTGTATTTTTTATTTCTTTCAATAGGAAATGGGACTTGATGGAATATTACGAATTTATACCCAAGTGTGACATAATGACAGTTTATCTATTAATTAGGGGAAAAGGTTATTTTAAACATTCTTATCTATGTAATGATATATGAGCAAAATTAAAGGTTATATGAACTAACATGGCATTTAGCTCATACAATGAGATTACGTCTTGCTCCCGTTTTGCACTAATGCATACCTGTCACTGTACTATGTAACTATATTCTGGAACTGTATTTTTAGTTATTTTTATTATTTATTAATTTATTTAATTTCTGGGGGGTCACCAATTCTAATATAACCCTGATTTTTTCATATTTCTGCTTGAGTCTGAATAAAACCTCTGCTTTTTAAAGACTTGCCTGAAATCTAATATTTGGATACCTTAAAGCAGTTGCATCTTTTGTTTGGGTTCACCAGAAATCCTGAAAAATATTGGACTCTTTTAAGGAATTCCAGAAAAGTCTCAAGGTTGTGTGAGGTGCACACTTTATTTCAGTGGTTCTCAACCTGTGGGTCGGGACCCCATTTGGGGTCGAATGACCATTTCACTGGGGTCGCCATTTTTTTCCCCTTTTGCTTAGCTGTGCTACTCCCTTTTATTCTATTGGCTTTCAATAGAGACCTATCATTAAAGCAAAAAAATTAAGTCAACCCAAAGTACATAGGGAATATGCATGGCCTTGAAGTTTGAAGATGCCCAAAGATCCCTGCATCAAAATATTAGATCCTTGTGGAGGTGACTTTTTCAGAAGACACATACAGGTAGTCCTCAACTTATAATAGTTCATTTAGTGCCCATTTAAAGTTATAACAGCACCGAAAAAAGTGACTTTTGGCCGTTTTTCACACTTACAACCATTGTAGTATCCCCATGATCACATTATGCAAATGGCAACTGGCTTGTGTTTATCATGGTTGTAGTGTCCCGGGGTCATGTGATCACTTTTTGTGACCTTCTGATGAGCAAAATCAATGGGAAAGCCAGATTCACTTAACAACCATATTATCAACTGAACAACTACAGTGATTCACTTAAACAACTGTGACAACTAAGACTCCACCCAGAAATGGCATCCTGAACCAGTCAAGCATTTCCCTGCTCTGGCTGGACAAGTGGCTGCTTTGACTGCTAGATGCTGGAAAAGGAGTGACATAGAATTACCCCTCAAAGTGCCAATTTTCTTTTATCCCTGAAGAACTCTTATCAAAAACATGATTTTTGTGGGAATGCATGTTGTGCTCCTGAAACATTTAATCACAAAATGGAAGACCCCATATTAATCTGTCTGGCAACAACTTTATCACTGAAAAGATAGCAGGAATATTTATATATAGTGCTAAAAACATTTCAGTAATATACAATTTTCTCCATTTCTTGCAGATTAACGCATGAGAATAACGACCATGTTGCTGAACGATGCGTTTGCCCAGAGGGCACAATCTTGTTCAATTCTTACACTGGCCTCTGTGTTCCAGAATGTGGTAAGTTTCTCTTTTCATTATGAATAGTGATGACCCACTAGTTACTGAAGCAAAAAGCATACTGATGATAAATAGAATCATTTTCATATTTGGCAGTTGGGAAAAACAATCGTATGGTTTGGGAGGGAAAGATGGCCTTTACAAATTTGCTTTTTCAAGGAAATTAAGTACACCAGCTCTTGTGGCCACAGTTTTTTTGTAACTGTTTGCAGTGTTTGTAGTTCAGGGTTGAAATGAGGGGTCCTTGGTGCTCTCTGAGTTCTTGCATATCTTTCATTACCAAACTAGGTAACATCATCATTGCAATGTTCAGAATTCCAAGCTAGCTGTGGTCTTAATGCATCTTGATACTTCCATGTTGAAGGAGACTGTACTATATTATCTGAGTAAAGGACAGCTGTGTGAATTGTTAACCTTTTTTCTTTTAATAGGTTGTGTGGGACCAGATGGATTACCAAAACTGGTAAGTAGTTCACACAGAATGTTATGTCATCATGAACTCAGAGTACATCACTAGCAAAGGACATCACGTCACTTTTGACTGAAGATGGAAGACCATTTCACTTAAAAGCATAAAATGGAAAGATCAGTCCGTGGAGTACAGGCAGAGTCAAAACACATGCCCAAAAGTTGTTCTTAGAAAAGCAAGATTAAACTAAATGAAATTAAAGAAAGATTCAGACTATACTTGGAAAGCATCTTATAAAAAATACTAAACAAAATATCAATTTTAGGGAATCGGTTAAGGTTCTGGCCTAGAAACCAGGAGACTGTGAATTCTAGTCCCATCTTAGGCATGCAAAACCAAAAGGGTGATTTTGGACTAGTCACTTTCTCTCAGCCCAATTCCCCTAGTTGTTATTTTGGGGAAAATATGAGGAAGAAGGAGTATTGGTATGTTTGCCATCTTCATTTTTATATGAAAAAAATCAGGATTAAAAAAAAACACATTAACCTCCAGTCCTAACTAAAATTCTCAACTTCATGTCCACTAGTATTAAGTTTATATTTATCAGACAGAACTCTTGAAAAGATGCATACCTAATTTATAATAGTTTCCTGTGGTTTGTAATTTTAAAGCCTTCTTGGCCATTCAATAAAACCAACATGAAGAAAATCTCTCCCAAATGTTAAGGCACAATTCAGCAGGCATATCTGACACAATGAAAAGTTTAAAGCCAAGTAATTGCTCCTTCTTAAGTCCACGGATGGTCCAAATGATAAGTTAGAAAATTATAGTTATCATTGGCTCCTCATTAATCTGATTTTTCTTAACAACAGCCTGGTAGCAAATGGAAGAGCAACTGTCAAGAGTGTTTGTGTGATCCTTTGTCTATAAGCGTACAGTGCAAGCCACAGAGCTGCTCAAAAACGACCCAGAGTTGTGAGGAGGAAGGATACATGCCCATCTCTGTGCTAAATTCAGAAGATCCATGCTGCCCCCAAATAAAATGCGGTATGCATTATTTGTTTACTTATCTCTGATACCAAAGGGGTTGTGAAGCTCTGTTGTGCTCTCCTCACACACACCTGTATCCATATACAGCTTTAATATATTACAGGCGCCACAAACACCACCACAACCTCTGTTGCCCTCTGACACTGATTGCTTGGAATGACAAGAGCTATGGCCCAATGAACCTTCAAACCCCCAAAGTCTGAGAAAATAATCTAAAGAAATGACATCAGGGTGCTGCACAGCCAAGGTCTAAAAAGGAAAAAGAAATAAAAAATGATCAGTGAAAATGTCTGGCTTGCTTGAAAGTGGAATTCATGCACACACGCACATGCAGAGAGGGGGGGGGGGAATACATGGAATGATGTTGGGAGACAGGGCAGCCAAGGGAAGGATCTGTTAAAAGGCAGCTTAGCCTGAAGCAAAAACGTGAACAGGGCAAGAGACTCTCCCTAGTTTTGGAGGCCATAAAGGGAATGAGAGAGAGAAATAGTTTCAGACTTGCAAGATTCTGTTCTTGTAATTTTACAATAAAGTAAAATTAGCTCTTCTTATGTCTTCTGTCTGGCTGACACGCACGGCCCCCTTCACCAGCACTTTTGAGACTAAACAAGTTTATCTGGTTGTGGTTGATGAGTCTTCCGCATAGCAAGCACTCTTTGTCTTTGAAAGAAGAGAGGGGAAGCGTTGTTATGCCTAGAAAACACAGGTATTTCAACTTTATACCACCACTTATCTTTGTGGTATTGTGATGAACAATGATGCAAAGCTATTCCGATTCCTGAAAACAGAAACAAGAGAAATAATAATTGGATCTTAAACTATTAATATTAAATATGTTTCCATTAGAGAAAAAGTTAACCGCCTGTCACTTTTTTAGAGAGAAAAGGTTGAGAGAGAGAGCATCTAACAGGGATAGTAAATGAACACTCAAAAGAGAACTGAATTACCAATCCACATATTTGATATCTAGGAAAGATAGCAATCTTTGGAGATTCAGACAGCTGTATTTTTCACATGCTAGCACCATATGCTTCAGATAGAGATTTTAGACAGAAAGCTAGAAATCTGAGATTTCTAGGATCAAGGTTACATGCACTCAATACACCAGGATGTCCTTGGTGTATCTATAATTCTAATGACATATAATTGATATGTCATTAGAATTATAGATGACATGGGCAACATCACAAGAAGCCAGGCATGTCCAATTTCTTGGGGCTTCATTCGGTTCTTTCTTTTTGTTGATGTATTCCACAGTATGCAACACCAGTCTGTGCTCCAAGGAAAAGAAGATTTGTAAACCTGGATATCACGTAGCCTCAATCTCTTATGATGACTGCTGTGGCACCATTAAATGTGGTAAGTTCAAACTTGCTGAGATATAATATGTGCTTCAGCTGCCAAAAAGGCCAACACAGTACTGGACTGCATTAACAGAGGGATAGAATCAGGATCACGTGAAGTATTAATACTACTTTACAATGCCTTGGTAAGGCCTCACTTGGAATACTGCATCCAGTTTTGGTTACCACGATGTAAAAAAGATGTTGAGACTCTAGAAAGAGTACAGAGAAGAGCAGCAAAGATGATTAGGGGACTGGAGGCTAAAGCATATAAGGAAAGGCTGCTGGAATTGGGTATATTTAGTTTAACGAAGAGAAGGACGTGGGGGGACATGATAGCAGTGTTCCAATATCTCAGAGGCTGGCACAGAGAAGAGGGAGTCAAGCTATTTTCCAAAGCGCCTGAAGGCAGGACAAGAAGCAATGGATGGAAACTAATCAAGGAGAGAAGCAACCTAGAAGTAAGGAGAAACTTCCTGACAGTTAGAACAATTAACCAGTAGAACAACCTGCCTCCAGAAGCGGTGAATGCTCCAATACTGGAAGTTTTTAAGAAGAGACTGGACAGCCATTTGTCTGAAATGGTATAGGGTTTCCTGCCTGAGCAGGGGGTTGGACTAGGTGACCTCCAATGTCCCTTCCAACTTTATTATTATTATTATTATTATTATTATTATTATTATTATTATATAAATAGATTATATATTCTAAGGGGAAAACAGCCATCACCAGAGGAATTGTAGATGAGATGAAACAGCATGAATGTAGGATGGATATATTCCTAATTTTGGTTTCTATTTGTATTTTATCACATAACAAACTTTAATTTAAAAATGGAAAATTTGGGTAGCTATAGAAGTCATTATATAAGCATAAGAGAAGCTGTTTTCTGCTGTAGATTTGAAGTTGTATTGAAATAGCATCCCCTACTTTAATATTTTATCCAATTTATTAATAACAAGTCTGATAAAAAACCCTGAAATCCCCATTCAAACCTTCATTCTGCAATAAAGCTCAGTGAAAGTGACATTTCATATTCACATATTCACTGAATTTGGTGGATCAGAGAAGATACACCCAGATTTCCACCATGAGAGGTTTAGACTTGTCCCTTATCTATCCCAAAGGGTTGTTGGCTGCCATAAGCTTCTTGGAGGAAAGCAATATAAAAGTCACAAATAAAATGAAATAAAAGTAACTTTGTGTATAAAGTATTCAGCGATCTTCTTACAATTAGTTATAACTGGTTATTTAAATAGTATTAAATAATCAGTATTAAATAGTCAACTTAGAAAGTTCAGACTGCCTCAGGAGCTGTTGATAGAATTCTACAGAGGAATTATTGAGTCTGTCATTTGTACTTCTATAACTGTCTGGTTTGGTTCAGCAACCAAACAGGACAGGTACAGACTTCAATGGATACTTAGGACTACAGAAAAAACAATTGCAACTAGCCTGCTTTCCATTGAGGAACTGAATACTGCACAAGCCAAAAAGAGGGCTGAGAAAATATCTACAGACCCCTCATATCCTGGACATAAACTGTTTCAACTTCTTCCCTCAAGACAATGTTATATAGGGCATTGCGTGCCAAAACAACTAGACACAGGAACAATTTTTTTCCCTTGTGTCATCACGCTGCTGAACACCTAATCCTCACAGTATTGTCTGATGTCTATTTACCCATGTTGTATGGCTGTATTATTATTATTATTATCCTTTTCATCTTCTCTACTACCCCCTCTTATTGGTATCATTATTATGATTATTATTACTCTGTGGCTTGGCATGTACACTGAGAGCTTCTGCACTGGAGACAAATTCCTTGTGTCACCCTTGGCCAAATAAAATATTCTAATTCTACTATTTTATTCTACTTCTATTAAATTCTTATCATTTTTTTAAAAAAAATTAAATCTGAATTTCGTTTCCCATTATACTTTAAATAATTGGTTCTTTCTGTTTGCAGAAATAAGAGAACATATCTGTTTGGTTAATGGATCTGTTTATGAGGTAAAGAAGTTAGTATTTATTATACACGTATGTGAATAAACCTATTTTCTACATTTTCAATTATAAATCAAGTTTAGCATGAAGATCCATACTGTACTCTGGATCTCACCATCCCTGCCAGGGAAAGGGTTAATTGACTTGAGTTCTAGAGAATGCACACAAGGAATGACATCTGTGAGGGGGACCCCAAATATCAAGATGGTACTTACAATGGTACAGTCAAAGCCTTTTAAGTCTATAAAGGAGAATATCTGTAGTTCAGGGTTGAAATGAGGAGTCCTCATTTCTGAGCTTGGTTGTTTTCTTCCAGATATTAATATATAGTATATGTAACAATAATAATTAAAAGTAAAAACAAAAAGAGACTAGGACCCTAGCTTCAGAGCTGCTCACCCACTGACATTCTTATACAGATTCCTATTAAATATGCACCATCTTTCCTTGTCACTTACATGTTTAATGAAAGAAATATACAGGCTTAGTTACAGTAAACACTTAATGCTGCCTTTTCCTTTATGAGAATTATATAGAATTATATTCTATATTTTTTTTCCCAGCCTGGGATGATTGTTCCTGGTAAATCCTGTGAAACGTGCATCTGTAGTTCTGTTAGGGACCTTGCTACCAAGAGAAATGTTGTGGAATGTAAGCCGGTTACCTGCAACACGGATTGTCCCATGGTAAGAACAAGTCTTTCCTGCCTAAATGTAGCTTAACAGGATTTTTACCGGAGGCTCTCTCTCCCATAGATTGGTAGCCACCAGTATTAATTCTTATTGTCTGCTAACAGGGTCATGAGTATCAAGTAAAACCTGGTGAATGTTGTGGAAACTGCATCCAAGTGGCTTGCATCGTCACCATTAATGGTACTGCTGAGATACTGGAGGTAATATCTTCTCATTCATACTGTAAACAAGTGAAATAATATGATATTCCTGTGCTTTTGCTAACTAATCTGAACTTCTTTCCAAACTTGTAACACTGTATTTTAATACTTACTTTCTTCATAGCAATGGCAGATGAGAAATACTGTGAGCTATTAAAATATGAATAGGACTCAGCATGCTTCCCTCCTAATATATTGGACTATACTTCATCATTCCCAATCTATAACTCTGGTAGCAACTGGTAGGATAGGAAAGCTGGACTGAACTGAATATAGGTAGTCCTCAACATATGATCACAATTGGGAATGGAATTTCCATTGCTAAGCGATGTGGGCATTAGGCAAAACATCATGTGACTGCACCACTTAGCAACAGCAGTTCCAATAGTCCCGGTTATGATCATCAGGCCAGGCCGGTACTATTGATATTGTAGGCAAGGATTTCACATTTCTCCTGCTCTGCAGTACTTGCCTTCACTTCATCTGCCTCCATCTGCCTTATCTCCTCTTTGTTTCTGCTTTTTTGGGTGCCCTGCACTGCGCCTACTGCTTCCCAGTGTCACTGCCCACAGGTGACTTTTGCTGTCTTTTTTCCTCCTGCTGGTGGCCCTGAATCCAAGCACTGGACAAGGGTGCAGTTCTGAGATGCTTGCAGTGAGAACAGCAGAGCCTCATCTACCAACGGGAATTTGCCAGACCCAATCAGGACAGAGGCAGCATGATGCAAACAGTGATTCAGATATGTGAACAACCGGTTCTCTGTGTGGATGCCGCTTCTGGAAGTCCATTCTGGGCCTGGGCAACAAAAAATTAGCTACTGGTTCTGCCGAAGTGGTGCGAACCAGCTGAATCCCACCACTGGATGCAAGGCAAAGAGCAAGTGGTGGCTCCCTGAGAGAAAGTGCAGGGCTATGTGGAAGGTGCTCTTTGGGATGGTGGCAGAACTGGAGAAAGAGGAGGGAGGTGCAGTGCACACTCTGCAGCTCATCGCAATAGCAATAGCACTTAGACTTATATACCGCTTCACAGTGTTTTATAGCCCTCTCTAAGTAGTTTACAGACTGAGCATATTGCCCCCAACAATCTGGGTCCTCTTTTTACCTATCTCGGAAGAATGGAAGGCTGAATCAACCTTGAGCTGATGAGGACCGAACGCCTGATAGTGAATTGAATTAGTCTGCAATACACCACCACGACTGTTTATGTTGCTAGTACTGCTAGAAAATCAGCCACTCACGAAAACACCCAGGCACTGTCAGATGTGCTGCCAGTGCTAGAATATCTAAACAGCCAAGCTCCTCTTGCACAGCATCTGAGGCTATGCTGGGTGGGGAATTCTAGAAGTTGAAGTTCATACATTTCAAAGTTCCTGAGGTTGAGAAACACTGATCTAGACATATTAAGAACTTTGGTTTATATTTTCTATTATAGTTTATAATATAGTTTACAATTAAAATAACAGTCTTCTCTCATACTCTCTTTCTCCTAATTTATAAAAAACAGCCTGGGCAGACAAAAGCGAGTAATTGTAAACAGTACAGATGTGAACCAAGGAGCAATATACTAGTTTTGGTTGAGACTGAAGAAAAGTGCCCTTCCTTTGATCCAGGATGTAGTCCTGTAAGTTTTATATCACTTTTTATTTATTCTTTTTTCATTACATTGAATGTAATGAAACATGGTTTCTAAAAACTATACCAAAGGTCCATATCAAATAGTCATGATCACCATCTGTCATTCAAGGTTGAGGTTAATGTTATTTATTATTAATAATATTTCTAATGATTCTTATTCATATGCCCTGAATAACTAGCAGTTGCCTCCTACACCATAAAGTTGTTTATTTGTTCAGCAAGAAGAAATGGTGATGGCTAAAGCTAAAGCTTAAAACCCAGTACTAGAAAGTATCTACTTTTACTGTATATCCAGATGTAATAATGATTAAAATAATAAGACAAACTTTCTTTGTTGTCAAAGGATCAAATTGAATTGACTCCAGATGGCTGTTGCAAGATATGCAAAGAGAGTAAGTAAACAAAAATTTTAAAAAATCCATAATTCATAGGGTCCTTATTAAGTAAATTTGATGAGCATTATCCCTACCTCTTCATTTAAATTTATGAATCAAAATGTTGAAAAGGGCATGCCTAGGACTGAATCTTCTGCTATATAGTTTGATAGAGATAAATTGTCTCCTGAGATCACTAAACAGTTTTTTCTTCAGTTTTTTTTTGTTTATATCTTACATGTCATGGACTCTTCTCCACCAGGTCAGCAAAACCTAGTCTGTTTATTATGCACATCTTGAACATTTCCCTTAATTAATACTCCAGTGGTATCTATTACTGAATTCCTGAGAGTGAAAAATGAAGGCTTTGTGGGCTTGTGTAACATTCATCATTATTTGTAGGGAGTTAAGCAGATGGCAACATCTGGCATATCTTACCTTAAAAAGCTAAGTGGAGTCATAGATGGTTAATAAACGAATGGGCAGCTACTGGGGAATTCCAAAGTTGTAGGAGAGATTGAGAAGATCAAAAAATAACTTGGAAGAAAACAAATGGTAGATTATTTCCTTAGTCAGCAACCACAGCAGTGAATGTGAAGACCAAATGAAAAGTTTAATATTTCCTTTTTCCCTTTCATTTTTAAGCACCAAATTGCAAGCCATACAAGAATCAAACTCTAATTCGTGAAAATGAGTGTGTATCTTCTGAAACTGTGGAACTGACCCACTGTGAAGGAACTTGTCCAAGCTCTTCAGTGTAAGTGACAAGGAGGCCTATCCTACTCTTACCTATTCATTCCTCTGCTGGGTAATGTGATATTCATAAAATATCAGCCTAGAAACTAAACTCAAGGTTACCTTGATCCACCTGGACATCTTGGAGACAAGAGCCCCTTCCAATTTGCCAGTTGATTCTATTGGATTGTTTTGATGATTGAGTGGTTATGTGCATTTTTAACCACTCCGACAAACTATGTGTTGGAGTTTTAAAACTCTATAGTAACCCCAAAAGACGTATTTGAGATGGACAGTGTAAAAATGCATGTAATAAGTTACATTTTACAAAAAGTATCTAACTTTTTTTTTCCCCCATCTGGACAGATATTCCCGAAAGGAAAAGGCATTTCATCATAATTGTGCATGCTGCCAAGAGCAAAAGAGCCATAGAAAAGAAGTAACCTTAACATGTCCAAACGGCACAACCATCATTTATGACTATTTATATGTGGATGAGTGTAAGTGCTTAACAGACGTATGCCCCTCTGAAGCCCCACCCAGCTAGAAGAAGGATAAGAATTTTCATTTTTCTTTGTTCAAGATAAATCCAACAATCACACTGAAGAAATCAGTCATCATCCAGTGCTATTTTGGATCTCTCCCTGTGTCCTTGATTCTGATATTTTTCTGTTGGCCAGGTGCTTAATCAAATTAATGTCCTCTTTCATGTAAAAAAAAAATTATATTCATCCTGGTGAAGTGTTTTCAAAATGAGAGCATTCTCATTGGACGTTTTTTCTCATTGGAAAACCTTCCAAGTATTCCTAACATAATGATAGTAATGTATAACATTTTAATGTAGAAAACTAAATTCCTATACACTATGTCCATGCTTTTCTTGCTTTGCTGATTTTGGGGGGGAGGGCAGGCACAAACTTCTGTATAGCACCAATGCACGTGCTAAACTTGCTTTCCTATTCTGCTTTTTTGAGATTAATAAACTATACTTAAATAAGTTCAGCTTGTATAACTGCTGTTTTCATTCATCCAACTTTAATGTCATCCATTAAAGCAGTGGTTCTCAACCTTTCTAATGTTATGACCCCATAATACAGTTCCCCATGTTGTGGTGACCCCCAAATGGGTGTGGCCACCAATAAGAGGGAGTAGGACAGCTAGGGAAAAGGGAAAAAAATGGCGGACAGCGTGGTTTGGCGACCCCCGTGAAATGGTCGTTTGACCCCAAATGGGGTCCCGACCCACAGGTTGAGAACCACTGCATTAAAGTCAAACTTTCACATTGCAATAATTAACTGTTTCATTATATGGAAAGAGTAGGGCAGTCCTTCCCAACTAGTAACTTCCTCCAGAAGGGATTACATAATTTATTTAATTATGATCAATAACCTGCAAAGTATAAACACAAAACAAACAACCCAATGCAACATGAACAATGTAATGGTCATATAAAATGTAAATATTTAAGATTTTAAAAACTGAGAAAGAGAAAAATTGAACATAATACAATCAACAAGATAAAACCTAAGATAAATAGAAATACAATTACATAAAAATACAATAACATCAAAGAGTAAATAAAGATTTCTTAATGTCATCATGACAAAATAGGGAAATGTTACGTCTTTGTATGAAAATGACAGCAAATAGAACTCCATGGGTGATGATAGTATTTCAGGTTCCTTCTTATCACAAACACAGGGTCCATCAGTCAATGGTAATCATATAGTACCAATAGAATATTTGTAGCTGAGTGTTGAACTAGTTACTATGGGATCTCTGATGTTCTCTGAGCTGTGGGGCACCAAAGGCAGCACTTAACACTTTAGACTTATATACTGCTTCACAGTACTTTACAGCACTCTCTGAGCTGTTTACAAATGCCAGAACATTGCCCCCAATTATCTGGGTCCTCATTTTAACAACTTCAGAAGGATGAAAGGCTGAGTCAACCTTGAGCTGGTCAGGATCGAACTCCTGGCACTAGGCAGAGTTAGCCTGCAATACTATATTCCAACCAATGCACCACTGCACAAGGAATACTAGTATTGCCAAGAATGAGGCACTAAAATGAGACAAAGAAACAGGATTGAATACTTTGTAGGTACAGGTAGTCCTTGACTTATGACCACAACTGAGCCCAACATTTATGTTGCTAAGTGAGACATTTATTGAGTTTTGCCCCATATTGTGACCTTTCTTGCCACAGTTGTTAAGTGAATCACTGCAATTGTTATTTTACTAACATGGTTGTTAAGTGAATCTGGCGTCCCCATTGACTTTGTTTGTCAACAGTTCGCAAAACGGGAATCATATGACCCCAGGACACTGCAACTGTCATAAATATGAGTCAGTTGCCATGCGTCTGAATTTTGATCACATGACCATGGGAAAGATGCAACAGTCATAAGTGTGAAAAACAGTCTTAAGTCACTTTTTCAAGTGCAGTTGTAACTTTCCAGGTTGCAACCACTACTGAAGGATGGCTATAGCACCCAAATATATTTACTGTGTAGCGTCAAAAATTATTTTATAGATTTCAGCTTTATTTCTCTTTAAATCTAGGAATAGCAGAGAGTAGATGGAAAGGCCACAATAATCACTGATTTGAATGAATAATCAGCTAAGGTTTTCTTTCTTTCTGCCTTGATTAAAAGCCATGAAAAACTATTAATAAGACCAGGGGGACTTTGAAAAAGAGGAATTTAAGCCAACAAGATAGTTGGCTGGTGTGAACTTTTTCTCCCAATGGAATCATGTCATTTTTCATGTTGATTATAGCATTTGAAACACAGGTGAGTGCAGAAGAGCCATGTAACAACCCATCTTGAACAATTTCAAGGATTCTGAATCATTGTAGGAACATAACTCTGCATGATACAGCATTTGGGGTATAGATATGGCAAATTAAATCTGTTTAAAAAGTTTGATGGTGGCAGATAGACATCTCCTCCTTTAGAAATGAAAATAAAACAAAAAAAAAGTATTACTTTGACACTATTATTAACTTTGGCAGAAATACATTTGTTCGTGCCAAGCTCCAGAGGCCTGAAAAAGTATACCAACATATTTAAAAGCTGGAGCTTGTTCAAATTTTGATATTTTCAATTTGCCTTTGATGTTTGTGATAATTTGGTCTTCTGAAGAAAACCACAACGTTGATCTTAGAGCGACTGACTGTAAGCCCTTTCTTCTTACAGAGTTCTGCTAAAGCCAGCCAACTTCTCTTGAGGCCCACTAAAAAAGTGACTATATCAGCAGCAAATAGCAGCTTTGCTGGATGCCCAACACCAAGTTTAATGGGTGGGGTCCCTTTTTGGTTAAAGTAAATACCACTGAATTCACAGTCACATTAAACAATAGGAGAGCTAGAAAAATATTTCAATTTTATTGCTTGATGGATTGGAAGCAAAGTAGGCCTTCCCCCACTCCAAGGATTACACCAAACCTTAAAATCCCTGACAAACTGTTTGGAAATCCATAGATTCTTTTTGCCCCCTAAAACCTAAAATCTTTTCCTTCCATTCTTGAATGCGGACATGTCAAACGCAAGGCCTGCTGGCCAGATCTGGCCCATGATGGGCCCAGTTTTGGCCCATAGGGCCACCCTGGAGACAGTGAGGGATAATCCCCCATTGCCCTGGCCCACCCCAGCCAGCACAGGAGGTGGTGAGCACACAGGGGCAGGAGGTGGCTGGCAGCAGCCACAGCCCACTACACCTTTGGCCACCCATTGGCCGGAGCACCCTGGAATCCCACAACTTGCACAGCACAGGTGGATCTGAGTGCTGCGGCCAGCAGGTCAGGCCACCAAGCAGCAGGTGGCAGTTGAGGTGCAAGGGGGGAGGCTCATGATCCAGCCCACTGGACGTGACAGGCAGCTGACTGTTCACCCACTTTGTCCAACTGCAGTGGGTGCAGGCAAGCAAAGATGGACAGTCTGAGCACCCTGGCTGCTGGGCCAGCCCGCCAAGCAGCAGGCAGAAGCAGAGGCAGAGGGGAAGATACACAATCTGGCCCACCAGATGCACAGGTAGTCACCCACCTGCTTGCCCAGCTGCAGTGGGTGTGGGCAAGCAAAGACCAATGGTGGGTCCAAGTGCTGTGGTCTCCAGGCCGGCATTCAGATGCAGGTCAAGCCTCCCACCCGCTGCCATACCCCTGATGGCCCCAGCAAATGGGAAGGTGGGGAGCCCCCCCATCCCCAGGAAGCCACCAAGACTTCCCTCCCTGCTCTGCCGAAGCCCAGCCCAAGAGTTGCCCGATGTGTAGCCGGGCATCCCCTGGGAAGCAGTTCCGGGTAATGTGGCCCAAGAGGGATGGTGAGACTCCTCCTGTGGAACAGGTCCTGGTGCCCCCCCCCAGTCCCACCCACCCCTCTGCCGGAGACCTCTGGATCCCTGGCATAGTCCTACCCAGCCCCCCACAGGCACCTCCCGACACAAGCAACATAGAGCTGACCACACCACCTGGCCATGCCCACCCAGTCAGCCATGCCCACTCAACCATATCCACTCGGCCCGCTGAGACAACCAAAATGCTGATGCAGCCCTCAATGAAATCAAGTTTATTGTTGCCACTGTGTCTCTATCTTGTTAAAAGTAGTGACATCTATTTTATTAGAACTTACTATATAGCATCTGCCTCTTTCCAGTGTGGCCATAATTAATACATTTGGTTATATTTTCAAGCAAATCGTGTAATTGTTATCCAGTTTTGATCAAATGTTAAGGTCATATATACGGTTCATAATAGATGAAGCAGTGAACAAAACTTCTGATTTGAAACTGAATGACCAATACGATAAAGCTGTTTTCCAAACTGCTGTTCATATTAAACTTGGTGATTGGCACACACTTCTTCCTGAAAACATTCTGAAACAGCCACAAACAAAATTGAAATCACCCATTATCCGATGTGTATGGGAACATTTTCTCATCTGTCTGTCCCTGCAATCCCTTTCACAAGGTTACAAAATGCCCATGATTTTGTAAAGACCATAACAACAAAAGATGCTGTGTTCTAAATCCATGCTGAAAGGCTTTTTTTTCATAGAAATACAAGCACAATGCAACACTTGCAATCCAGATGTTTGCTCACAACTCATTCATTTGTTACACTGCATTAATTAAGCTCCCCTGATTTTCCATCTGGTCTAATGATTGTGTTTGCTGAGACGTGGCCACAGTATTACAAGCCTTCAATTTAAGAATTCTTCCATCTTAAACTGAGCTAGTCAGTTCCTTTGTTCCTTCAACAGAACATATGCAGAGTTAGGTTTGCTTGCTGACCTAACTGATAATATATACGGTTCTTCCTTGCTTCAAAAAGCCATCCCTCCATATCATATAGTGCTGTGTCCTGAAGTCTATAAGAAGAAAATTGCTTGCATTTTTTTTTTTTTTGCCATCATAATTTAGTCAGCCAACCTGACTAAAATCTGAGCACAATATAACTGGTACTCTGTTTTTATTTCAGTAAAGCACAGCTTATAGAGAACAGGTAGCTAGGACATTTTGACTCATTTTGAACACATTCCTACATTTCAGACTCTTTTCAGCAAACAGTTCTAAAAGTCATTAACAAAAACAGACTTGGGGAAAAATAAAACAAAAACATTATATAAGAATTCCAATGTGGTTATCCCCAACAGAAGCTCTGAAATACCCAAACCTACTGGATATAAATAAGATAATTAGATACAAGGAATTAGTAAATGAACAGGGAAATCTGAAAACAAAACAAGAATTGAAACAAGATATTGGCAGAAAAGTTGACTGGTGGACATTTACACAAATTCAATTTAAATATACAGAGGACAAAAAATTATATGAAATACAAAAAGAGCTGCAAGAATTGGAAAAAATTATACATGGAACAGAAATAAAATTAATTAGCAATTTATACAAATACCTATTGAGATATAAAATGGAAGACGAGGTTGTCAAAGACACAATGATTAGATGGGCAAAAAATTTTGGATATAATATAGAATTGG